TTGTTCGATTAAATGCTGATGATGAGAAAGAAGAAAAAGCAAAGAATGCTTCTCTTATCATCACAATTTCTTTTTCCTTGTCTATAATGTCTGTCGACACTCAATTCTTCAGTTCCGGAAGTATCTCTCATTAATAAAAGAAAATGAATCGTTTTCTTTCCATGAATTTTTGTTTTCTTTGTTATTAATGGGCCAATCCATTGTAACCTTGAAGAGCAACAATTCAATTGAGCAATTGGCTCAGTGATTGTCTCATTATGAGAGGAGATGTCTTTAATACGAAATGTTTGTAACAAGTTGAGATCGATGTTGTCCTTTCAGCAGAACTACAAGATATTATGACTGTAATGATATGTGAAGAAATCGCCGAGAGACAAAAAAAAACGATCATATTTCCGTTTTCACTCTATTGATACGAAGGAATCGTTCACGCATTCATTCATTAGACATATAGATGCATGCTGAAATCCTACTATGCCAGAGCAGCAATACCCGATTAACCTGATATACAGATCATGACATACCGAGCAGCAGCATTATTATTATTTTTTGTATGTGTGTATGTATATATATATACATATGTATATCTATATGTTTGTCAAAGGAAAGTTATTGTTGACTCTTTGCTCTGTTTCTCCCTCTTCTCGTATATACCCATAGGAAATTGTATACATTAAATATTTAACGCCAATCAAGAACGATAGAACAGAAGCAAAGAAGCTTTGAAGTTGTTCAATGAATGGCTGCTAGCAAGAATTGATTAGACTTTTTCTTTCTTTTGTTTGGAAATGACCGAAGTTTCGAGTTCTAATCAGACAGATAGAAAGTTGCAATTAACAGAATGGAAAATCTCAGAACCTTGGAGGGAGTCAATAGAGTGCCATGCTAATATATGTATACGAATTAGATAGGATTACTGAAACGAAGAAAATAACGGAATCTGAAGTGTGTTGATAATTGGGAATAGCTATGATTTGTTCAAAAGATACCTACAATTGTTTTTATTCTCTCTTGCTCTTTCGTGCTCTCATTTTCTTTTTGTTGTTCAGCGATTTTCAATAGGGCAAATTTGATTCATATGTAAATATGAAGATTGATGACGGGAGAAACCAAGATTTGTAAAAGCAGTTACTTTGTAGAACATCGGAAAGAGAAAAATCTTGTCGGAACACATCGCATTACGAAGATAGTCGCTCTTGTCTGGTTTATAAACACTGACGAGAGAGAATACGTGTCTGAGGTCGAGTTCAGACTCATAAATTTGTTTTGCTGAAAGATAAATGTTGAGTGATAGATCGAACGATTTTTCCTTTCTGACAAACGATAGAAGAAAACAAGTTTATATGCTATTCTTTAAACAATCAGTCAAGATAATACGATATGAAGCAAAATGTGTCACACATTTCTTTTTTTCTTCTCTCAGTTTTTTTTTGTGCGTGTATTTGTCTGTTTAATAGAATCTATCTTGTATATGCACATTTTTCTTCATATGCAGTTGTCGATTGTCGCCTATCAGGAAGGCAAATATTTTGGCCTCGCCTCGTTTTTACAGTATTCGCATTACTATTCATTCATTCTTTTCCTTTCTTGTTGTGTATGCATCGTGCTACTCTTGCAAAGGGGCTTATTACATTGATGAGTTTTTACTATGATTACATTCGGCGGCTATGTTCTTTCTATTTCTCTCGCTCTCTTCTTCCCTCCTCCTTCTTCTCTTCCTCTCAGTACGCTCTCACTGCTACTATACAGAAAAAAGAAAAAAAGCGGTGCCAGAACGGCGAACGAACGAACAAACGAATATAGAAAGCCGGTCTGTTTGCTCTTCTCGCTCTACTCTATAATCAGTCAAAATAACGTACCGGTAATATTCACTCGTCTGATATACACAGTCTATAGCGACATATTCATTCGTACGGATACTTACCTAGTCACTTATATTTTTCTCTCTCGCTTCAACTTCATTTTTTGTTCATCATATTCTCTGTTTCGGAGATCGTCAAAAAGTCTTCATTTACTGTAGACCAACATTCTCACATACGTATACACGGTAGCTATTACCGGTGGTAGTATTAAATATTACTATTATAAGCGTTGTCTTGTTTGCTTGTAACATGGAAGGCGATGTTGTTTTGCTTGGATTAATGGACTGGAATGCCGGTTCGTCGGCGACACAGCTCATACCATTGCCAACAACAACTGAAGTGTGTTATGAATTGTTGACAGGCGGGGTTTGTATACATCATAAATAATATCAGCTGTGCGTTAGAAGACAGACGAAAAAAAGCAAACTATACTAAATGTCTTGCCGGTCTTTTCTCCTTTGAACAGTTATAATAAGAAAAACTATCGATAAAGATAATTAGCGACGTCTATATGTTATTATTTTTCTTTTTAAGCCAACACAACCTCACTCTGGTGCATATGATCAATCGAGAGCAACATTCATAAATGGACATCATGCGATTGTTAATAATGGTCTCTCTCCATCATCGTCATCATCTCATCAAACTCAACAACATCTCAGTGATACAAATTTGTATATAAAAAATTTATCACCTGACTGTTCTGATCAAGATCTTGCTAAACTAGTAGAAGGGTAATTAACAGACAGAATATTTTCACATATGAATTATAAACTTTTTTGCGTGTTGTAAATAGCTGTGGAAAAGTTAAGTCAATGAAAGCAATCATTGATAAACAAACAAATAAATGTAAAGGATTTGGTTTTATCGATTTTGAAACGAACGAAGATGCACAAATGGCTATAGCTCAACTACAAAAACAAGGCTATGCAGCTCAACTGGCTAAAGTATATTTTGAAAAACACTCGCATCTTTTCGAATTCGATTTTTGAATTCATCTAGTCTTCACAACAACAAGAACAAGATACAACAAATTTATATTTTGCGAATTTGGATCCACAAATGACTGAACAAGATTTACGACAAGCACTTAGTCAATATGGTACTGTTGTCAGTGTACGTATTTTACGGGATCAACAAAAACAGTCACGTGGTGTTGGCTTTGCGCGTATGAATGACAAAGAGCAATGTCAAGCAATTATTAATCGATTCCATAATCAGAATTTTCCAGGTTCGCAATTGCAGCATCTAAATATCACACTGTTTTTTTATTTCTCCTATAATAGATTTTTCTGATAAACACGTACATGTTAAATTTGCTGATGCAAATAACAAAAACAAAAAAATGTATAAAACAGGTTTTGAGGTATGTTCGCTTCGACATGATTTGCAAGTGATAGTAACGACATATCTTTTTTTCCTCAACCCGTAAAGGATATGAAAAGTGGTCATCCAATATATTCAATGGACCAAACTGTTTCATACTCATCACCGGCTGTTGTGTTTCCTCCGTGGTCACCAATGCCAGCTGCGCCGATGCTTTCTCAACAAGCTTCAAATCAACAGCAAGCACAACAGGCACCACAAGCTATTGTCCCCGGTCCACCACCGCATCCACATCATGCAGCACATCATCAAATGTATGCACAAGCAGCACAACTTCGACCGCCATTAGGTGTATTCAATCCATCTATTCCGTCCTATATGCACTTGTCACACGGGCCAGGTCCTGAGTCTGGTGCAGCATTTGTAGTGCCAATGCAGCAATTACAACAATTACAAATTGCTAACGGCCACCCGGGAGCCTTTTGTCTGGTAAATCCACCGCATCCGCATCCACATCCACATCCACATGCACATCCGCATCCTCATGCCGCAGCCGCACTTTTTATGCAAGCACCACAACCAACAGCTGCACCACCACCTCAACCACAACAACAATCAGCACCCCCACCGACACAAAATGATCCATCACAAGTATGTTAAATTAAGAAGAAATGTTTCTTTTATCTATTATCGTACTTTTCTTTCTCTCCTAGGATCTGTCGTAGAACACCTACTGATGAAACAGCCAATCATTTGTTTGTTTTTCTCTTGCCTTCCCTACTTTATCCTTTTGGTTTCGCGCGATCTTCTGGCTTGAACGAGAGAATTTTTGTGTGGAATTTTTGTTCATTGTTCGACCACCAAATTTCTCTCTTGTGTGCCGTTTTTTCTTCTTTTTGTCTGTCTCTGTCCCTGTCTCTCTTTCTTTTCACTTCGTCTCGAGTGCCATTTTGATGATGTTGATGCTGATGAGCGCATGCATATGTGTATGTATGTGCGTGCGTGTGTGTGTATGTGTGCATGACTGACGCTCTTTCTTTCTCTCTCTCTCTCTCTCTCTCTCTCTCTCTCTAGTTCTTTTGTCCTTGGTTGCCGTTGTTGTTGTCACCGTTTGGTCGGTCTTCATTTCTTTTTTTTTCTCTTGTCATCACCTCTTCTACTTTTTCCTCCTATGTTGGTCGTACTGGAGCAGCCAGTGGTCTTCTTCTTCTTCTTTTGTGTCTCTTTATACGTATGAGACTGAAAACGAACGATGTCTGTGTGATGAGATAAGAAAAAACATGTGGCTCTATTTTTTTTTTGTTTATTTGTTAGCTTCTTGTTTTCTCCATACACACACACACGCACACATACATACAATAATTCACGTTCGTTTTACATTGTTGATGTAGTCGTTTTTTCGGTGCGTTTCCATGCATTGATAACAAACTGCGATGAAATGATTTCGAGTAAGACATTTATATATACACAGATATATATATATATATATATACATGCACACACACACACACAAACGGAGAGACGAAATAAAACAAAAAACCACAAATGTACGAGAACGAAATGTACAATTATTTTATTCTTATTATCAGTACTCGGAAAGAATTTCATCGGAAAATATGATAATTGCATTGCATTAGAACTCCCTTTGATGCTCGCAGAAGTTGACATTTTGTATTTGATCAGCTGGAATGTCATTCAATTATGTACCAAATGAGATCACACTGAATAAAAGTCGGAGTTTCTGATAGACATTTCTACTACTGTTGAATTTCTTCAGTTGCAGTAAAAGAAAGAAAAGACTACTTTGTTTGTCTAGCGTTTCAATTGTTGTTGAATAGCTCCAATAATTGTATTAATCGATTTATGACGATTGATTTTAATGAATTCCTTTCCTCGAATTGTCAGTATTGAAAGCCAACCATTATTTTCCGGATGTATATGAAGGAAACGAATGGTTTCCGTTGATTGAGCTAAATTTATTGAAATGAAATCAGAAGATTCAATTGAGTTGATTTCTTACTAAAGGAAAGTGGACCTGAATGACAATCACGTATTTGTCTAGCGACAAGATCTAATTGAAGAGAAGTTGCACGTTCAGCAATAAAGAATTGGTGAATGATTTCAATGGTTTGTTCGAGACGAGAAAGCATCTGCGTTTCATGACTGAGTGAAGTCGATAGAATTTTGCTTGTCTCTTTTGAACGAATCTTGAGAAAGGAAACAGTAATGATTAAATTGCTTATCGGTCTGAATATTTTACTTTTTCAACCAGTGATGAAGATATTCCATCGATGGACAAAGCTTCTTTCTTTGGGGAGGATAGAGCAATCGTCGAAGAGATATCATCACTGGAAAATGCAGAGAACAGAGCACGTTTGACACGTTCGGACGGGGTACGTTCTGCATAATGGCGAATTTCAATTGGTGATGCTAATAGTTGTTTGTCCGGTGATTCAGGCAATGGTGCAACATCAATATCAGGAATGTTTTCAAGATCAAATTCTGGATGCCAGCGTGTCAGTTGTTCATCATTTGGAAGTTCATCGATACTCTGTTGAAGTTTATCCGATAAAAAAGTCTAAAAGAAAGAAACATGCAGATATGATATACAAATGACTTAATTGTTTTACTCGATGATGTGCTTTAACTGAATTGAGTAGCGCTCGACGAAAACAATCGATTCGTTCAACAATAATCGCTGGAGTGATCTGTACATCGGCGTGAATACCAAAATCAGCTAAAAAAATGAACAAATACGAACTATTTTTCAGAATACTTTCACGTCATATAACTACTTGGAGTTATGGTTAATTCATGTTTCAGTTTCATTGGACTCAATGTTGGCAATTGAATCTTTTCTTGTTGAAAACCGTACATCGTTGGACAGATTGTTTTGATACGCCCAAGTGTTTGTAACGTAAAATTTCTAGATCAAATCAAACATGATTTTAACGAAACAGGAATTAATTGTATACCGTTTGGTTTTTTGCTGAATAACTTGTTGGCATTTTTCAAATGTATTAATTCCTCCGTTATTATGCGTATGGCAAACAAGGAAATCTAAGTGTTTGTATTGTTCGAGTAATAGTTGGTATTTATTTGGCAGAGGTAATTCAACTGTCGTGACAAGTGAATTGAAACGCTCATAGGCAGGAATTGATGGATAACTAAATAAGAGAAGATAGTAGGCAAAGGAAAACATGGGACATACAAAAGTACCTTTTCACAGGTGTTTGTGGTGATGGATGCTTGAACGGACTGGTGGTTATGTCACTGAGCACATTTGAACGTTTGATTGGTGAACGCGAGTAAGTTGATTTGTATTTATATAAATCGTTTCGAAATGCGCGAATACGGGTACGTATTTCTTCGAGATCTTGTTGTTCCATGTGACGTTCGCGCATCTTAACTGGACTACGGTGATGAATCGGAGCGCTATGGTGACGAACGAATTTAATTCGAATGGGAATCGAAGATTTTCCATGTGTATTCTGTGATGAATGATGTGTTTCTTTCATATCAATAGCATTCGTTGCTGCCGTGTGTGATGTTTCTTCAAGAGGAAGATTAGGTGTACACTGATCAAGATCAGTTCCAAGCGGTGGTGATTGTCGATCTTCGACTTTGATTACTTTCATTGGTTTATCAAAAAGAGTTGCATTTGATATATTCGTCGGATGACATTTCGAGAAGAAATCAGTGATTAAAAGCGTTCTGTGTGACATAATTTATCGATTAAAAAGCATCGAACACAAATAAATTAATAATAAGAACAATTAAAGTGCTGTTCTTGATCTATCTACCGTGAGTCGAATGGACAATGGTCAGTATGATTACGGGCTTTGTTGACCATTGACTAGGTCATTCTATCCTCTATATCATCCATAGATGGCGATCATTGTATACGATCTAGCTAACGAATGTCTCGAGTTCACGTCAGCTCAAATATTTCATAACATATTATGACGGCTAAGTAATCGAAATGATTGCACTTTAACTTCTGTCAAGCGAATGTCTATCATAATTATCAAATGACTTGCAAATTAACATATGTCTACATCTTCATATACCGATATGTCATTGAGGTAATTGTGTACTTCGTCATCAAAAATAAGATTACTGCAAGCTTACATCGCTGAATCTGCATCTATAGAATACCAAAAGTCGTAATATGTCATCGGTTTGACATAGTGATCGTAATAACCACATTTCTCGAAAGTATTCGAAAGGGTCAACACATGTCAAGCAAAAATAGTTTAACAAGTATCCTTTTACCTTTGGTCATAACTGATCTTGCACAGATTGTTTTAAGTAGAAAAACATGCATCGTGAAAAAACAACAAATCTGAAAGTATCGTTTCCAGGAATAACTATTTATGCCGATCAAACTTGCCGAATCGCGGAAAAAAATTACAACACAAAAGACAGACTTTTCATGCCTTAAATGAGTATATCAGAACACCTACGTTTGCTTTTTTTTGTTTTGTGTGAGGTTTTGCCGAAAAAGTTACTCTTTTGATTTCAAACGTGTTGACATCCATTATGTGGTAGATGTTTTTATGATGTTTAAACTTCTAATGCACTGCAGAACCACATAGTTTTGAAAGAATCAAAGAATAAATCATATTTAAACAAATCTTTTTACTCTGTTACTATTCTTATTTTATTCCTGTCATACAAACGAACTACGAAGACATTTTTTGAAAACAGTGATTAAGCAATGTATGCCAATCGTGATCAAACGTACACACAATATGAATTACCGGTGAGCATTGTTCATTCGAACATCACATGTAAGAAAAACTACGGGTGTTTGTGTTTTAGGATGAATCGTATTCAAGTAGAGACAATTTTGTCATTCGGGTAGCGCGAAATGATGTTTCAACAAATGTTGCTTCTAATGTTCCAGTGAAATCGTTTGTATCGTCTTTCATAATTCATTTTATTCATCATCTTACTTTCCTCAGGTCAGGTGGATGCATTCGAATTCCATTAATGATTGCGTGTGGAATTGTAGGATGTCTTCTCGCAGCTGCTGTTATCATTACGCTATATGTCGTTATTTACGACAGCATCAATGGTAATTCGTTAGTTCTTATTTGAAATACTTGTTTAGAAAACACTCGAGCACCTATAACTTATAGAGAGACGCTCAGAGAGATTACAATTTTATAGATATTTTGTAAAGGTTAACTTTATTTTGATCAGGAAGTAAAACAACTACTACAACATCTACTACCACGACCACTTTGTTGACTTTGATCACCGGCGTCCAAAACTATGCAGTAATGTTAAATGCCAACGGTTATCACGGAATTTATTATATTCGTTATTATTCAGCAACGAATACTTCAACTTCATTGAGAATTACTTATCCAATTGTTTATCTTAGTGGTACAACTTTTTTAACAACATACACAAATAATGCTTGGTATGGACTTGGTACTAATTGCGTTAGTTCTACTGGTGTCGCAACGTGTACAGCTGTATGCAAATCACTTTCTCGAAGTTATGTTGGAGTAACATCTACCTGCACAAGCGGATATTTGGGTTCCGTTACATCGTATGTTACACCTGATTATGCTGTTTATACCACATCGGATAGCACGTCTACACCATGGACTGATTATGGCACAGCACTCAACTGTGCAAGTGCAATGTCTTATTGTGACTGTTCCTTATAATGAAATATTTTTCATATGCGAACTGAAATATTGTGTGAGTGTGCGTTTTAAACATGATCTTTTTCCGAATATTTATTACAAATATATTCATATAAAAACTTGTAAAACATAGTTTCAATAAGAAATTCAAAAGGAAGAGAAATTCGCTTTCACAAAAGTAATTAACACTGACAGCATCGAAAACAGCCCATTTTGAAGAAGCCACTGACCATCGTTTGCATACAGGATCCTTTTGCTTTGCTACAACAATCATCTTTCGAATCGATATATTCTCGAAGAATATCTTGAACTCGTTTCTTGTCAGTAAATATTCGACTATGTCCAGGATAGATTTTCTCAATATCATGTTCTTCTAACCAATCAATCATGCGATTGGCACTTCTTAAATAATCGCGCACCGATGATGTTGGCACCCAATCTATTAACTCATCACCATGAACACAATCATAGACAAAATCACCTGTGAACAGTGACTTCGTCTTTGGATAATAACAAACGACACTACCAGCTGTGTGGCCAGGTACATGCGAGACGATGATTTCATCATCTGCACCTAAAATTTGCTTCTTATCGTCATGTTTCAAAGATATTCAAATCGTAATTACCTAAATCAATTCGATGACCATCCAGTATTGATTCACACTTCGTTGCCGGAACTCGATATTCACGCGCTGAGAAGTTTCTGTAAGGTGCTTGGTCAAAATGCGCTGATCGTACATAGTTTAATGTATCTTTCTCCCGACCATCTCTCAAGCCTTGATAATCATCTCGATGAATTAGAATTTGACTATCATTTTCGAAATGTTTCGCACCTCCGCAATGATCGAAATGAGAATGTGTACATAGAACAAGACATTCACGATCTTTATCAAGTATATTAAGGTTTTCGAAATGTTTCTTCAAATTACAAACGCCCAAACCGCAATCAATGATTAAGTCACGTGCTACGCCACGTATAAGCCAAATATTCGCACGGTTGCCTTCGAAAAAATGATTTTCGTTCGTTAAAAATAAATTATTATCAACTTGTTTTGTACTAAACCATTCAGGATTGTCTGTTGCCGCCATATAACTTTGTCCCAATATCAATTGAATGACTAAACATAAATAAAATCAAATCATCCATATCGATGAGGTTTGATTCGTCTAATTATTGAGGTACTATCATTTCGACGCAGTAGATGGCAGCGTACATAAGCACAACAAAACTTCATAAATACTTCCACGGCTATCGTTTTGATCGATACAATAAAAATCAGTCGATAATGAATTGAAATCGCTGATTTTCTTCGGAAAAAAGCGATTAGATCATTGAAAAATTCATTATTATAATTCAATATTTGATCATTCTCAAGATGGGAATTACCATTATCAATAGAATTAGAAGAACAAACGATAGCGTCAGCATCTAAACATGTTGATTCCGCTCTAGTCGGGATCTTAGTACTCGTTAGTGAGAAAGTTGTAAGCAGATCTCGATGTGGAGGCAGGGATATGAAAAAAAGATGACAGAATCGGGTCTTGTTTCTGGCCTTTTATTGATCAAGTAGACTCTTGCAGACGAGATTTTGCATATATTTGAATAAGTTTCATGTCGAATCTTTCCGATTTGACTAGAAAGAGAATAAGGATTATTTTTCAGATAAAAACGCCCTTTTTACACTGGAATATTCGCTGATCAACCTTGAAGGTGTCATGAATAAGCACCTTAGAAGAAAAAAAGATCTCCGTGATACCAGTTATGGTGGACAAACAACCCGAGACAGCTAAAAGAAAATAAACTTTAATTTAATTTTAGTCAGTGTTTTGGCACAACTGACACAGAGCATTGCGTTACGGGAAACTCTAAAAACTGTATTCTATCGATGCGTGATTACAACATCTTCTATTTTATTGTTGTTTACCGATGTCATCTACTTTTTATGGCTGCGTCGCAATTGAAAATGTGGGTAACTTCTTGTAGTGGCACTTTTCAGATCGACAAATTCCGATGCGATTTAGAAGTTTTAACAAAATTCGTCTTTTTCGATCAGTTAAAAAGTGAGAGTTCAAAAGGAATTGTTGATAATTCTTCTTTGCATCAGTCAGTTTACTGACTCTATCCCGTTGGATATACCCGAACTCGAGCAGATACGAGAAAGAATCCGATGAATTTTTCAAATCTTATTTACTGCTCGTTTCCGATCGATCGAAATTTAGTAAAATTCATGTGAAGCTAATGTGCGATAATTATTGATTTTCGGAGGTTTACCAAGGTTACATAGGAAACATGTGTCCTACTAGCTGAAACTGTCCTAAACTGATATTGGTTGAGCTGCACTGAGTGATATTTACGAATCTGATTTGAATCATTGTAATTCAATTCTGATCAATCGGAACTTGAGGATTGCAATTTGGATTTAAGACAAGTGCATTTTTGTTTATTTATAATGAAGAAATTTTAAAAAGAAGAGACGAACTACAGTTCACACGAAGAAAGTAGACGAATACACACAGACAAGATCATTCTGAATTATTAAGCCAAATAAGTAGTATTGAACCCTAAGTATGTTGAACATAAAATGAAATATGCAATTGTACGTTGTACAGAGCAAAAGTAAACAAAAAATCTGACATATTTACATTGGATTACAAGATAATTAATACGTTTTTCTCTTATCTATCTGTTGTTCATTGATTTCTTGCAATTTACTTTCAGTCATTGTTAGACGCGTCTCAAGAATAGCTACTGTTTTGGTTAGAATATCTAATTGTTGAACAATATGTTCAAGTGTATTGGTCAACTGGGGTGCATAAGCTTGATTAACATTGCTTTGAGTACCGTAAGTCGTACGATTATTATTTTTACTTATTGCATTGGTCATTGGTTCAGAATTTACTAGACATGCTGATGCACTATTCGACTAGAAGAATAAAAGATTTGATATTGAAAAAACAGGCCGAACTATTTAAAATCTGTTCACTTACTCGAGATATGCCGTTTTCATAAGCCGGACCGATATTTGTTATTTCAAGACGATCGCCGTCGCCATACGTTGGATATGCTGATTTACCATTGAACACATCAATCTAAATGTGAATGAACCCGAGCTTCAGTAAAAGAATCGTACATGAAATGTAACTCACTTTGCGTGCTCCTCGTTCATCGCTCGTCTCTGGCTGAGATTTCTCCCCTAACGACGAGATCTGAGCTTTTTTCTGCTGATTAGTAGATGACGAAACTCTTGTGGATGGAATATAATCATTTGATGATGTATCATTGCCATTTGTATACTTATTACTCGTTGTGTTAGTTGATTCAGCAAATGAAGGTGCGCTCTCAAAATTCGTTTTCCAAACAAGTACCTAAGAAAGAGAACTTGAATAAGTCTGTAACGATTTTCATATATCATTTACTTGCTGATCTTGACCGCCTGAGGCAAAAAAATCGCCTTGCTTAGAAAACGCAACACTTGTTGCTGGCCCCTTAATAGCAGAAAAAACGTGCATCGGTAATTGTCATCATTTTGTGTATTCCTTACCTGATGTCCATGTAAAGTGTAAATAAGACGTCCTTCTAATAAATCGAATATTTTCAACGTTGCATCACTCGATGCTGATAAAAGATAGTTTCCATTCGGATGGAAAGCGACACTATTTACCGACGCTACATGATCTGAAACGAAGAAGTGGTATAGAAATCAAATCAGATGCATCACTGACTTGCATAGTGTTGAATCAATTTTCTTGTTCGAATATCCCAAATTTTCACACTTGCATCGGTACATCCTCCGCCAATACACGTTCCGCTTGGATGGAATGCAACATCGTTGAGAAAGCCGTGCGGTTCGTAGAACGTATGCATGCATTCATTGGTGTTTCGATCCCATATTTTGACTGTTTTATCGTCACTGCAACTAACAATCAATCGACCATCAGGTGAGAATTTTGCGCATCGAACCCAATTCGAGTGTTGATTGAGTGAGAATTGAAATTTTTGTCGATGAACGGTCCAAATTTTAATTGTTTTATCTTCTGATGAACTCAGTAAACTTTGACCATCACTCGCAAAATCAACACATCGCACAGCAGCTGTGTGAGCTTTAAAAACAGTTGATTCACCTTTGACACTCGGAATCCAAAGACGAACTTTCTTATCTTTGGAACCAGATGCAATCAGATGACCTGACGGTGAAAAACAAACCGAATGAACCGCGTCATTATGGCCGACGAACCGATAAGCTCGAACTTGTGGTTTAAATGGCCATAAGAAGAGACATGCATCCAAACTGCCAGATACTGGAAATGAAACAAGAAGAGTATGTTATCGATTTATTTTAGGACGAATGTTCACAAGAGATACCTAGTTGTTTCGTATTCGGTGAGAAGCTGAGAGATGTAACAGTACTACGATGACTTTTGAAGTGTTTCTCTAATTTTGGATCTTCCTGCAAAAGCGTTAGAATTAGAAAAGTTTTTTTTTGTTATACAGTTTATTTACCATCAATGCGTCAGTTGAAAAGGAAATCAATGAACATTCTAACCCTAATTCTCAATATCAATTCTTTTCTTTGTCCACAATACTAATCGTCCATCATTGGTATCGGACATCAATTCAACAGGTACTCCTAGACAACCGGTGGGGTCCGATCTTAACCTAAAAGATCGATAAATAGTTTCTTTATTGTATAAAAAAAGAATTGAAATAAAAATTTTTCGATTTTCATTTTCATAAAAAACTTTCAATTATTTATATAGAGAACACATTGAAAAAGATGGCGCTAGTGCATACAAAAGTGTGATTTTCGACTAAACTACATAGTATTCCATTTTGTTATGGGTTATGTATTAAATATTGAAACTGCCTTGTAGTTTAACGTCATTTTTATCAGCAGATGTTGCAATCCAAAAATTATAAGTACCAGGTGCTGTTGTCCATTTTTGATTGACAACATTCCAGTATGAAATATCTTTCTGTGTCAATGTTAGTGTGACTTGTTTGGATTCACCAGCAGCTAAATAGACTCGTTCAAAGCCACGTAATACTTTCGGTGGTTGTTCAGCTTCACCAGGAAAACCAAGATAAAGTTGAGGTACTTCGGAACCATCACGTTTACCAGTATTGGTAACTGTAAATGTCACGTCATATACAGGTTGATACAATTTAGCAGTGCGCATATTGGAATATGGTCGTATGCGACGTTGACGATAAGCTGATTGTTTACTGTTAGAAACCTTTGATATATCAAGTTGTGAGAATAAGAATGTTGTATATGATAAACCATAACCAAAAGCGAATCGTGGAGTGATATTATTTTTATCAAAATGACGATAGTCCAGGAAGACGCCTTCGGTATAATTGGAATTATAGGATTCAGTAATATTTGTGCCAAAATCTGAATCATTTCTTGCTAAAGTAAAAACAAGTTTACCACCTGGATTATAATCTCCAAAGAGGACATCGACGATGGCTGGTCCATATTCCGATCCCGGTAGACCAGACCAAACGACACCCACAACATTGGGATGATCAATCCATGCTTCGATATTCAATTGAGAAACACTATTTACAATAACGATCGTATTCGTACAACGAGAAGCAACTGTTTGAACTAATTTATCTCCATCGTTAAAAGCATGAAGATTGTATCGATCTCGTCCTTCAGTGGACCAAGCATTAACGAACACTAGACATTTAGCATTTTGAAAACCACGAACGTTAAACGAATTGTTGATCGCATTGTAATCGTTCTGGTTGGTAACATATTGAATTTGTATATGCGACTCTCGAGCTCTGATTAGCAGTGAAGTAAGAGGATCAATGCCATAAGTGGGTCGAACGTAACCCGAACCACCACCTTGATATAGTGCACCATTGAATCCTTCATCGGATCCCCATGGACCAAGTCCATCGTTAAATTGACCTGCAGCTGAACCAAAAACAGAATAATATTTATCTTGAGTAACAGTGAATGGTAAAACGTTATTCGTATTTTTCAATAGGATAATACCAGCAGTACCAATCTCTCGATTAATTCTATAGTTATCTTCAGTAGCATCGCGATCTAAATCTAGTGTCGGGAAATCTTGATCTTGTCCAAGTAGGTAATAAGGTGCGATCACTCGAACGATCATATCGTTAATTCTTTCTTCACTAATTGAACCACTTTTCACCGCTTGTACAAGAGAAAAGCCGAGAAAATTGTCACCACCTGGCATTTCAATATCCAATCCTCCCAGAGCAGATGGTACACCAGTTTTCGTCGCACCCCAATCTGACATCACATTACCTTGAAATCCAAGTTCACCTTTTAACAAACCGTTTAATGTTTTATCATTCTGGCATGCTTGCGTGCCATTGACTTGATTGTATGAACACATGATAGAACCAGCACCGGCAGCAACACTTGCTGCGAATGGCCAAAGATAGATTTCGTGAATGGTTTTATCATCAAGATTTGCTGAGTAACCTTGGGAATTAATCTCACCAGTTGTGAGTAAATTATCACTGAGACCATAGAAACGGTTGGTTTCTTGTTCATTACAAATATAATGTTTAGCAGTTGCTACGACACCTTGATCTTGAATACCTTGGACGTAAAAGAAGGAGTTTTCGCCCGAAAGGTACGGATCAGCACCGAAGCCTTCCCAATTACGACCATGGAGAGCATTGCGGTCGATATTCATCATTGGACCTAGAGCAAAATGAACACCTTTACCTCGAAATTCTTTGCCGATTGCGACAGCACGTCGATAGAAAAGATCTCGATCCCACGTGGCGGCTATTTGTATACCCGGCGCGAATGCAGTTGCGAATTGTACACCGTCACCAACACCCGATGGCGAATCTTGAAAACACATTCCATGAAAATTTAATCGCGATACTGGATAAACAGTGCCAGCACATGGACCAGGAACACCTGCAGTCATGTTACATTTCTCTTCTAATGACAGTTGTGCAACAAAATCCTTCGCTAATTTAATGGCTTCATTCCATGATCTCCTCTGAACATTCTTATGTTGATGATGATTTGATTGAATCACTGCCGAATAGATCGCTGCGAAACATATAGTAAAAACTATGATAGACAACCAATTATTAACCATTTCAGCGGGAGTGTCTACTATCTCTGGTTTTATTTCTTTGTGACCACCTTTATTTGTATATATATAGCGGAGAGAAATGAATATGAATATGAGATATTTTATCTTTTATTAAGTTGATATGAATCCTGTTCTCTAGTGATAAGAGTATATGTCAATAAAAATCGTTAGTTTTTCTATTTATGTATACTTTTGTTATCTGAAAAAAATCGCTGGTTTCAACACATTACATCATTTCTTTGGTTCATAAATAATAAATTGATATGTGAATGATTATATATTGACAAGACACATATTTATGCAAGGATTAAAACTTTATTCTGAGCTATTTACATCATTGCGTTAGAAAACGATGACGCTCTATCTTCCTCTATTTGGTCGAGTAGGTCATTTACTCTATCTAATTCGGTTTTCAATGAAACGCTTTCCATTTTTGTATATCGTTGGTACAATATATGTGCGCACATTAGTCGATGTTTAGCAGCTGCATTCTTTCGGGGGTTTTCATTGAATAGACGTTCGCCTTCTTCGGTAAAACTATCGGCTATATCACGTACCAAACGTGACAGTACATCTGCGTCAAAATCGAAGATTTGAATATAGTCTGTATAATTAATTGCCCAATTCATCTGCAATTTAATATCGTGACAGTAGATATAAATTGAATGGTATGTTTTCCCAGTAATTCGATTGATAAATATATTAGGAAATCTTTGGAGAAGTATCGGTACAATTTCTTCTCCCAGGACTCCGGAGACAATGAAGTAAATGCGTCGATTTTGATTGCGTTCGAAGCATTCAATACAAGGATCAACAGTTCGAAATACTGCTAAAAGAAACTGAACACCTTCGAAATTAATTGGCAGAGGACCTTCGGCGCGAAGTACATCATCATAATCTGCATCGCGCAATTCAACTGGAGTTTCATTTGTAGGATCAGCTATTGTGGAAAATGATTTCTTTAGATGTTGATATCTGGAGTGATCTCCAATTTTTCGATCTAACCAGATGAGTAGATGGGTTGGATCATTCTCGTATGGCATCGTAGCATCAGTGAGCATTTTATATCTGAAAAACAGAATTGTATCGTTTGATTCGTTTTAAGAGTGTAAGCAAAATTTATTGTTAATAACAAATAATGGATAAAAGTTAATAACTAAGGCCTCCACACCAGCTAGGAAATGTGGTGTATATATATAAATTCAACCAGACGGATATTTCCAATATGATAAACATAATTGTGTAAGAAGAACGAAATAAAACATGTTGGAGAATTCCATATCGCACGTTGTAGAATATGCCATAACATCTACGATTATTTTATTTGCTGTTCGATGTATTCGACATGTTTGACTATGTATCAAAGTCAGGCAGAACTAATTCCGTTCAATAGAAGTGGTTGATTGCCGAATAAGCATCGAATGCATAAGCCGTTTCTAATGATCAGTACTTTTCTATCATCTCCTATCCAGGTTGATACCAAACTTGATTAGAGGTTTGATCTCATCGATAAAAGGTCAGTGACCCCACGATCGTTTGTATAAAAGTTCTTCAGTATAAAAACGAAACTAGGAAGAAACATATTCATTTTCAGGACGTGTTGATTGTCCTTTCACCGAATGCAATAATACGATAGCTTCATTTTCTTTCATATCGCGAGTCGATAGTTTTTCAATAGTCTGCGCAACTTGAAAAAAAAGTGCCGACAGAAAGAACTGCAAAAAAGTGTGAAATGGAAATTGATTAGTCGGTAAAAAATTCTTCTTTTCTTTTTCATCTCTATTGGTTCTAAACAATATGCTGCAATAGTTTATAATCATTGTCCTCCAGAGTCTTCCTCTGCAATGGGGTCGTCGTCATTATTAGCAGCCGATGCTGAATAACCTGTAGCATCTTCGTTTTCGGTTCGTGGTTCTGGATTTGGTGCATTTGCTCCTGCCGGGTGCGAATGTTGTTGCTCAGTGTTCATTTCTTTTGCTCTTTGAATAAGTCCAATATTATCACCATAACCCCTTAGACTTTTTAAAATTATTAGAGCTGGATCATTCAATGTATCGACCTGATTCGCTGTCACTTCTAGTTTTTCGGCACTTTCGAAGCATTTCAATGCATCTATTGCGGAATGTAAGTTTAAATAAACTTCTCCTTGTTTAATAATGCATTTAGATATGTCACGTGTAAGTCGCACAAGTAAATCAAGTTCACTTGTGAATATCTGTAAACAGGACGAGTTTTCCACAACTAAGTCAAAGTAATTACTTTGAAGACCACAAAATATGTAGAATTGATGAACTTGAGGGTATACGCGTTTGATATACGGAATAACCTGTTCGCCAAGTGAGCCTGATGAAATGAAATAAATGTGTTTGTCGTGATGCTCTTGTATAAGAAACAGTGCTTTGCTAATCGTATCAGCAAATAAAAATGGTGCAGCATTTTCATTTAGTGCACAAATAAGTGAATCAATTTGATCAGGCGGCATGACCGTTGTTGGCTCCAAAGCCTGAGAGAACTTCTTTTTGAATTGGTCATACTCGTTGTCTCTACCTATGTGAGCGTCTAACCAGATAAATCGAATACCGTTCCCAAGGGACATTTAGAACGGAAAAAGAAAAAAAAACAACCAGCGTACGTCTAGTTTTTAAGTAGTCTGAGCAAGTTGGTTTGTATATATAGACTTGTAAGTAGAAGAGAGAACAGAAAAAAAAAGTGGTTTTATCGTAAAAAAATACAAAAACGCATGACGTCACCTCAAAGGCGAGTAGACAACGTCTTTCGGAGAAAATCGTTATTTTACCTTGTGAGGTTACAATTGCGTATTTGCGTTTCATAAATAAACTCAAGATAAAAACGATAGAATTACACATGATCTTAATGTACGTGAATTCTTTCCCTATGTGATGACGAAGAAATAAAAATTCTTATTGTCGCATTGGTCGTCAACAGTTGTAAGTGAAATTAAACCGAAATAGAGTTTGCGCTTATGATGATAGTACTAAATGAAAACAATTTATGGTTGATAGCAATTTTAAAGGCGCATGTAAATAAAATCGATCATCATCATATGTAAAACTGTACCCTGCTAATTCGAGGCAAAGAGACAGAGATATGAACACATTTTAGTTTCATTATTGCGAATGTTTAAAGAAATCACATCTAGTGCGCACACAATTTGAACGTTATTTTTCGACAGCGAGGTAACTTATATAGTGACAAAAAAGTTGCTACTGGCGAACACAACCAGTTATTGCTGTTAAAGCCGTAGGACACGTGACTGCTTTAAATCGTGCTGTTGGATAGTATGCATTCATGAACCAATCGAATCGCCAATAGCAGCCCGCTTGTAAAAAACTTGGCAACTGACTACAATTTGCTCGATCAGTAAAACCTCCGTACTGATTACCCCATGAGTAATTACTGGAAAATTGATTGGCACATCCATTTGAAGAGCCGCCCCATCCACCACCCGGTACTTGTAAAACGAACATATTACCCGATGTATAAGCAGTATTAACTACTTGTACAATTAGTTCTTTACCAGCTATGGCACCCGATGTGAATAATAGTGAGTAACATGCACAGCACCAATCCCATTCTGAATGCCCCTAGAATTATATGAATTGATATATACATTCCTTGTGAATAGCAAGTGGTATTTACAGCAATGAATCCACCGGCGTAACCATAAGAAAGAGTACTGCTAACATTCCAGGGTTGCTGATCAATGCACAGGTATGAACTACCGCCATTACAGTACGATTGGGTATTAGAATCGATTGTCGTAATACCATCTTGTGCACACGTTCTTGCTGGATTTGTCACCGAGGCTTTGTATGGCCAACCACAACTCAACTTACAACAGTCCCAGTAAATACTAGTGGATGCATTCTGACGACCATCATCATAATACGTCGCCGTTATTGGAGACTGAGAAGTAGTCACCACTATTGATAAACATTGCGAATACGATGCATTCTGATAAGTGCAGGTTAAACCGCTACAACAATTGGTTGTGCCATTCCATCCACCGCCTCCACATTGACCGTAAATATTGCTACAGCTCGCTAAAAGACTCACAAATTGAATTGAATGAAATCTAGATCGATTTTGAAGTTTCCTTCACTTCTCGAACTGATTCTGCTTTTACCTACTGATCTTAAAAGAATTCATTAAGTAAAAATGAAGGATGCTTCATAATTTAATAAATGATAACAAACACTTCGAATTATTCAAGGACTCTGGGGGAAATAGGTTGTTGTCAAAACAAACACTAATCATCATGATCGTAGAAAAAAGCTTTTTCGTTTGCACAGCATCAAGAATGATTTAGTCTGACTGATTTCTTCTACTGTTCATAATTCAATTCTTTAGAGTTCATCTTACCTGTAGTATTGAACAACGTTTGTCTAGAGATTAGTTTCGAGTTCGTATTAATCCGAATTATTGATGTTGATACAAATTGAGGAAACAACAGACAAGTGTGGTTAATCGTATAGCAATTAATCACTTCGTATTTCGACGAATTATCTGAGAAAAATGCTTGACATATGCAATCCGAACACGAGCCAGTGTATAGTAAAACGTTGGAAAGGTTAGCAGGAACATATTCCGCCGATTCAATGTAATTTATATATGTGGTGTAACAGGTATTGAGCCAAGCATGAAGTAGAAATGATAAGTAAACTAACCGAATCATTCTTGTGAGTTCAATTATGCCGCCTATAACTAGCGTTCCAGAGTGAGAAATGGCATTGTGTAGGAACAGTATCATATGTGTCTTTTAAGTTCTTGAAATTGAAAAACTCTCAATATGCTTAACTGAACAAGCATGACAAAGAGTCCTTCAGCGACACGTACGATATTTTTCCAAAGTAAATTACTTATGATGCCAAATGGAAATAGTTCAATAGCTCGAACATGTGAAAGGGTGTGCTCTTCGTTTCTTCTTCTATGATAGTTTAATAATCATACAGTAAACATTGTATACGCACAGATATTCCTGCAAAATCAATCTGACAATTACGTGAAGATTATGCACAAAAAGCTGAAAGAGATTCACGTCCTGGGAGTACATTTCTCGATATGATACTTTCAGTTCATTGTTCATAATGAACCTTTCATGCTTTTGAAATTCTCTTTTGACATTCTCAAGTAGCCGAAGAAGAAAACAATACTATCAAAAGTATGACGTGTGCGAATTATGAAGTTTTCAGCTGTTACTTGATTGAAGAGTATTCCACATAAAATGTTTTGTCGTGTGTAGAAAATGGATTTAAAGTGCAGTCATTTGTTAATCAATCTGTCTGAATGAGATCGACAGTAGAAACGATGACCAAATCTGATCTTCATCAGAAATAAAATCACAAGATAAATATATCGTATTCTAAAAGTGCAAATGATTCCTCTACGTTGATGTGAATCCCATTCACAGATGGCTATTTCTTTCAAATTTTTGAAATTAAAATCTTACAATAATCTGCACAGATATCCATAAACAAACTATCTTGTCGATATTCGAGTTTATTTACTCTTCATCGCTGTCTGATGAACCATATTTATGCCCGATTGTAGGCGTATTATAAGTCATTTCAACCGTAATCAAAGAAGAACTCGAAGAAATGAAAAATCAATAAAGCAAACGTGTTTCAATACGTCGAGCAGCATGATTGAAAAAAAAATCTGTTCTAATTGTACTGTCATGAGAATTTTCCTGTAATATTTTGTTGGTCATGTACTTGTTTTCTTCCAAATGTAAGGAAATAATTTATTGAGTGTTAGTATGAAGAGGAAAAGAGAAATATAAAAATAAATTTTAAAATATCATTCTATTTCAAATGTTTTGTTTGCTGTATTTAAATTAATGGTGTTTTGCCTCGGAATGTCGGCGTTGTTGGTTTTGTGTTTTCCGTATAAGAATTATTTAAACTTGTTGCGACACGATAGCCACGGCGAGATGAACGATCTTGTGCATTGGAAGTACTCGCTGTTGTAAGTCGTGATAAAGGACGCTTTTCTGATGAGTATGGTCGATCTGTAGATGAAGAAAAAAAAAGTGTTGGAAAGAAAGTTGTGATGCATGCTTAAGGGGAAAAACCTGTTGGTGGAGCATTCGGATTATCTCGGATAATGATTGTTGGAGTTGCTCGATCGTTAGCATGACGTGTGGCTGGCCGATCGACAACGGTAATTTCGACAGGAGTATGACGACTATTGTTTGCCGGTGTTGTTAAACGCTTGCCTGGTGTCATGGTTCGAAGTGGAGATGTAGCGCGTTCGCATGTATCGTTGTTATCAGCATTGACAGAACATTGTGGAGTTAATTTTGATTGTTTCATAAACGTTTCTAACTGCTGTTTTTGACGATCTTTTTCTTGACGTTGCCAAATTTTGTACGGCCAATAGACACTTAATCAAATAGAAAAAATCAATCGAAATTTGATAGACTAGTACAAATTACTTGTTCATGTTTGTTGTCGACGATTGATCGGAATTCAAAGTATCTGATGGAAGATCAGTTTCGACACATTGCATATCGTGCATGGTTCGACTGATTAATTCCATTGCCAGACGTTTCTCTAAAGGAATGGAAGTTCGATTAGTTTTGTCGATTTTCAAAAGTGTAGTCAAACCCGTCGGATTTGCGTTCACCAGCCAATCTTGTGCTTCGAAAATATTATCCGTTTGTAAGATATAGCAGAGAATTGGAATTAACTAGCAGCAGAAGGAAATATTGACAAGAAATAAATCAGAATCTTACCCATATTCCTGGATCTTGGTTTTCGTCATTCAATGATGCTTGTTCTTGATCAGCTTTGGCCGTGCTCGGTTTCACTTTGGATGTTTGTGGTCGTTGAGACCGTTGACTTGCGCGTCGTTGTAATAATCGTTTGGAAACGTTCTGTTCATCATTGGTATCAAAACCGAAACCTGATGCTGAGCTACAACTGCGTTTTGTAATGGAATTATTTAATCGTGCGGATCGAGACTGACGTAAGTACTGTTCTTGTTCGTCACTTGTCGTTAATGATGATTTTATTTGTTGAGCTAAGTCCATCAATTCATGACGCCAAGCATCAGCTGAATTGTCTGCAAAGACAAAAAGAAGTATTCAAATAGTTGGGAAAAGAAAACAAGCAGTCGCGAAAGCGTCATGTTTTCTTGGAATATTGAGAACAAATTAAAAATTTATTTTGTATCCAATGAAATGTACGCATAGAACGTTCAATAAGATTGTTTTTTCGATCAATAATTGATCATACTGTTCAAATAATATGATCATATGGTTTCGAATCCTTGCTATCGAACATGTTCTCTACTTAGTTTCAGTCAAGTGATTGAGGCATCCTTAGATATGCTGACTTTCGCTCGAAATACCATTTGAATCAAAAACACGATCACACCTGGTTTTTCGAAGCGAAACTTACAAAGCCCGAAACCGTTGGTTTTGTCCATATCTAAATCATTCGAGTTTTGAAATCGATTGCTTTTCATTAAACGACTGGCATAGTTTGGTGTATCCTCTATATAAGGAATGAATCCCGTTTTGATATCTATGATTGCAAAGAAAGAATAGTAATAAAGAAAAGCAGGAGAAAGTGAAGTTTACTATGCATAAATTTCAATCGTCTTGGACACGCAGCATGTCGAGCTGGACGTACGAAGAACATGTTTGCACTTCGACTGCCGAATCTTTGTCGTGCATTCGTCAAATTTTCGTAATGGGATTCGTTCGGAAATGATGGACCGTAGACTAAATAAACTGAAATCTATCAGCAACTTTCCATTTCTTCTTTCAGGTAAGCTTACAAGTCATGTTCTGGCAAATTATGAGAAATTGAATAGAACTCTTGGTTTGTTTCTTTGTTTAAGAAAAAGAAAAGACGAGAACAAAAAATCGAGTGACAACGACAATTCAAATAGTGTAGCAACGCAGAAATTTGTTCACATACACTTTGTTGTGTGACAGAACGATTTCTTTTCTTATTTACAATAGAAAGAATACTATTGATTTCTTCTGTTCTTATCCGCCAATCCTCAATAACAATAACATCCATCACTAGCAACAACACAAACGAAAGTAAAGCGATGGTCGATTGAAAAACTAGACGACATGTACACACACACGTATTCAGAACATCACTTTCAAATTTGTGCAAGTTGACAAAAAAACATTTTCTTTTCTCGTCGAAAGTTTGTTTTTTATATTAACTGCTATTGCTTCTTCTCTCACTCGCTCGTGTGCATGAGTTACTTAAGAGCTACTTGAAAATTTTTTGTCAAAACCATACGTTATAGATCAAAATTTTTATGAATATTTATTTAAAATTAAAATCAAGGTGAGAAACAAAAAGAAGAAGAAGAAGAGTAAGGCTGATAGTTGAACAAAAAAAGAAAAGAAAATATATCGTATTTCTGATATCATTTTCAGGCACATGTCCTATGTTGTTTAAATAGTTTATACATTAAAGTCATCTTTAGTTTGTTATGGAATGAAATGTTTTATCAATATGTTGCTTGACGTACACATCCTTTAACATCGCAAACACTCGGAGCAATGTTAGGTTGTAAATTGGCGTAACCAACTGGACTTGGATCAGCGGCATAATAAGTATTTGATGGTACTGGATTGACATCCATGGATTGATTATCTATAACTGGGTTAGATGTGTAATGTGCACGGATATCCGTTGGTCGACGAGGTGGAAGAAACGATTCGCCAGACGAATAGACTGTTGGTGCATTTGGAGGGAAAGCATTACGAACAGCTGTTGACTCTTGACTATGGTTCTATTCAGCAAAAGAATAGATAATGAGACAAGCAAAGTTTTATTTGTTTTTTTGCATGTACGTACGGGTAAATGTGCAACTTGAGCTGCAACAGGACCATAGAAATGTGGATTTAATGGAGCAGCACGAACGACGGATGAACCGAGTGCACCATAACCAATATGTCCACCAGCAGCTACTCGAATTCCTTCACGCGCGATAACCTAATTTCAAAAAAGATTAATATATGCTAATAGTGCAATTGATTTCTACTAACGGTATCCAAAATCGCAGCTGGAAAAGAAAAGAAAAGAAAAGAAAAAAGATTTCTGTATTTCGCAAACATTTCATTACTAACCTGCTTTCAGTTTATCTTCAAAAAACGGAAAAGTGCTCAGTATATAGTCATTTCCTTCTTGCGTATTTGCATCATTGAGAGCTCTTTGAAATAAATCAACATTCATAACTAATATTAAACAATGTTCCATTTTCATCATACCTTTTCACATATTGAAGTGCTTCAAGACGGTCATTGTGTATAGTAATCGCAGCAAGAATATGTCGCGCTTGTTGACATGTCATCGGAATTAAACGCTAGAAAGAGAGGAAGTCTTCACTCAAATATAGTCTTTTCTATCTCAATTACTGGCTCCATGATCATCACTGCTTTGATTCGATCTTTTGGTCGAGTTATTGATGAAACGATATGGCCAGCTTGTTCTCCACTTAAAAATCCACGTGAATGATACAGAGTTTCAAGTTTTTTCTCATGATCAGTTGTTTCCTAAAACATGAAAAGATCCATTATTAATCGCGGTTCATTAACCAATTATGTTCGTTCTATTTCATAATACGATTATTCTAAGCTAGAATGATTCGATTCTCTCTTTGCATATGTTTACAAGAAATACATCGTGCTACACTATGATCGTGTCTTGCACTTAGTAAATCATTCAGATATTCGGCATCACCAACCCAAACAATCCATGTCAGACAGAGGAGAAATAATACTCAATCACTTACGTGAACTATTGTTCGAAGTAAAACTTCGAATTGTTGATCATTCATTGATATTTGATAGCTTCGGTTCTGTGATGGGAGAACATTTTTAGCGATAGGATCGAGAAAATTCATGATGATAAACGATATTGACGAAGTTGACTACTAAAGCAAAACAAAAAGAAAATTCTTTTGTAAAACTTTTCCATAAACATCAGTCATTTTCTTCGTTGTTACTAGAACATCGTCCTCTACTCATTCGAACTGAATTTTAAATTCGATATAAAAACTTTCTTCGATGAGTTTTAGTCCGTCTTCTATTGAATTTCCTTTCGAAAGAATTTTTCCGAAAAAAGCTTTTTTAATAAACCGACATCTATCGATACGATTTGCTATTCGATTAGAATCGTGGAACCATTGATCAACATACGTAACATACACATACAAATAAATAAAAATAAGCAAAAAAGAAGTCAACAAGTATTCTGACGTGGATTGTAGGAGATAGTTTCTATTTGAATATTAGACCGACAGGTAGCCATCACATTTCGTTCCATCCTTAATGATGATCGCGCTGATGATGGATCCAAAATTCAGAATAAGGTTGGTTTTGTTTTCGATCTTCATTGTTACATGACTATGCCGATAATTTTGTATGAAATGATTCATTTCAGATGGAGAATATGTTCTCATTGTATCGATAATCAGTATGAGATATTTTTAGTCTTTCATGTTTAGATTCTCTTTTAGACAATCATGAATGCATTGAATTCTTATTTTCGAAAGAATTGCGTGCATTCGCGAAAAATATCTTTATTCATTCTTCTACTTGGCATTTCGTGGTCATCGAGCTTTTCGAGTGAAAAATTTTCAATTGAAATTCTTCTTCTTCACTTTGAAAACATTTCAGATAGATTTCGCTTTTTAAATCCCGACTAACACTTTCATCTATAGAAGTTAATCTATCTCCAAATATTGTATGTTCGGTAATACCGTACATCGACATTAAAACCGCACTTTTCGATGAGCGTCGCTTATTATATAATGATTAAAATAGATTGAAGACGTGGTGTCATTCGCAGTCTATTCATTCCGTTCATCGTCGTTTTTTTTTGGTTTACCTTTTCTCTTGAGAAATTCATTTGTGTAGAAGAAGGACCCTTCAAATTCTGGTTAGATATAGGCTTTTTGTTCGCTGATGTAAAACAATAGATTTCCTGTCATGACTTGTTCTCTACTGAGTCTTTGTTAGTCACATTGTAAAGTATACACAAAGTAATCATCGATAGGTAAAGAAAAACAAATAACGGTGGAGACGACAATAGAAGTGTTTAAAAATTGATCAGTAATACATACATGCGAGGCTTAACCTGATTTGTATCGTTTTGAAAAATGAGGAGGAAGAAAGAGACAGCGAGAGCGCAGGGAAGGGCAAATGCGTGACAATCTCTCGATTACTTTTATTCTTGTCTTGTCTATACCCTCTTCTCGTTCTCAGTCGATTACCGGTTATGAAAAGACGATGAAAGAACGTGATCATGTTTATTGTATATTTCAACATGAACTCGTTAAGAAGAGAGCGAAAGAAAGAAGTAATGAAATCCGAGAACAATCGACACAGCTGTACTTTTCGTCTAGATATTCGCCTAGGATGTTTTATTCATCGGAAGAAGTATTTTTCGATTATTCTTTTTATTTTTATTCATGTAAGTATGTATGGTAACAGACTGTTGGGCAAGACGTTAATAAACATATTTTTCTTCTCTTCGAATCGAAAGATGAGAATATCATCGATACTATCATTTATGTATTTTAGTCTTTCACGATAAAAGACTATTAGAAAGTGATTATTTTTCTTCGTATTTTTTTTTCTTGTTCTTTCAGAATATAATCTCATGCTCGATATATCGAGAGACCATATCGACAGGTAATGTCGAAAAGTTATAACAGTCAAATCTGCAACCATGAATATTCATATCCGTCGTTATTTATTTCGTTTTATTCTTTTCATACCTGTCGCTTGGCTTTTAATCATTCTTATATTTTTGCAATCCGATGAAATTTCTACAAAATCATCTGATAACACTAAATTGAAAGAACAAAAAAACGGCAATTATCGCATAGGACGCGATGCAGATGAAGCGGACGCTTTCGGTGGCGATGCATTAGCACGATTGCGTGATCATTTAGTACCAGTACACAACAAATCTAATTCTGGTGAATCGTCAAGTGTAGTGCGAGTTATCCATGAAAAGCCTGAACAAGTAGCAGCACCACAATTAGAAAATCCTAAACAAGATCTCAATGGGCCAGGAGAAATGGGTAAACCATTCGAAGTCAACAAAGATAAATTAACACCCGATGAACGTAAAAAATATGAAGATGGCTTTCAAAAGAACGCTTTCAATGGTTATGTTAGTGATCTAATATCTATCCATCGAAGTTTACCCGATGTGCGGGATCCAGGTTGCCGAAAACTTTCGTATAAAGGTTTGCAAGCCACTGCAAGTATAGTCATGTGTTTCCACAATGAAGCTTGGTCGGTATTATTGAGATCTATACATTCGATTCTCGATCGAACTCCTGAACATTTACTAAAAGAAATCATATTGGTTGATGATTTTTCTGACATGGGTAAGTTTTTAACAAGTTTAAGGTTGAAAAGAATAAGACGATCGTTTTTTTAGAACATCTAAAAAAACCTTTCGATGATTATATTAAACCTCTTGGCAAAGTCTTCGTCGTTCGACAATCAAAACGTGAAGGTCTTATTCGATCACGGTTAGCCGGTGCTGCTGTAGTCAAGGGTGATGTGATTGTTTTTCTTGATTCACATATCGAAGCTACTGAAGGTTGGCTTGAACCATTAATTGAACCCATTGCTGCCAATCGTACAACAGTTGTCACGCCTGTTATCGATGTCATTGATGATACTACATTTAAATATAATTATGGTGCTGTAACTTCACTGAGTGTTGGTGGATTTGATTGGAATTTACAATTCAACTGGCATGGTGTGCCAGAACGTGAACGCAAAAGAAGAAAACATGAGCTTGAACCTGTACGGACACCGACTATGGCTGGAGGACTTTTCGCTATTAGTAAAATTTATTTTGAAGAACTTGGAACATGTAAGTTTTCATCATCCATTTGACTGAATATGAACGAACGTTTCTGTTTGGTTTTAGATGATGCTGGAATGGATATTTGGGGCGGAGAAAATCTTGAAATGTCATTTCGAATATGGATGTGTGGTGGTAAGAATATCTGTTTTACAAATTGTGATTTTTCTTTCAGCTATGTCGGGTTTTTTTTAATCGTTTAATAGGTACACTAGTCACTGCACCATGTTCACATGTTGGTCATATATTCCGGAAACGTTCACCATATAAATGGTTACCGGGTGTCAATGTTGTGAAGAAGAACGCCGTTCGTGTCGCCGAAGTTTGGCTCGATGAATACAAAGTAACGCAATCTCTTCAGTTCGATGTTGTTTTTATTATACTAAAAATTTTGTTTAGAAATATTACTACGAAAGATTCAATTATGATTTAGTAAGAATTCGCGTTCGGCAAACACGAATGATAGGTAATTGGTATTGCTTTTTCTAGGGAGAATATGGTGACGTCTCCTCTCGGAAGTTACTTCGACAAAAATTACAGTGTAAATCTTTTAAATGGTATTTAACGGAAATTTATCCAGAACAATTCATTCCTGGTGATGCAGTCGCTTCGGGCGAGGTTTGTGAAATGATCGAGGAAAATATCAATTAACATCCCCACAAATATGTTTAGATTCGAAATGCTGGAGCTGCTTTTTGTGTTGATGGAAGTACTGATCATAAGAACTACCACAAGCCAGTCATCGGCTATCCTTGCCATTCTCAAGGTGGCAATCAGGTAGGATGTTCTCATCAAGCAAATACCAATCGATGTCTACATTATTATATTCTAGTTTTTCATGTTGAGTAAACTCGGCGAAATTCGTCGAGATGATGGTTGTTTGGATTTCTCGGGCGGTATTAATGATGCGAATAAAGATGACAAAATCATTGTATATCCTTGTCATGGAATGAAAGGAAATCAGCATTGGGTTTACAAAGAGGTTTGTTTTCTTCGATTGAAGTGGCATTCATCCATTTGTACATTCGACTTGTATAGAACAACCAAATACATCATCCAGTATCCAATCTATGCATGACATTATCTGAAGATAGTAAACACATTCGAATGAGTCAGTGCGATGATAACAATTCCCGATTCAAATGGTCATGGAAACGCAAGCCATTGAACGAAACAAACAAAACTGAATGAGTTAACAAAGAAAGGAACAAACAATCTTATCTGACAGTTTCAATTCACATATCGCGAGACTTGTGTGCATGTGTACTTCTTCTGTTTTCGTTTTTCTTCCCTAATATATTTAATATTACAACTTGAGTGTGCAATATCTGGTACTAAAAATAAAACATTGTTTTGGCGTTCTTTTTTTGTTTTGAATATTATGCTCTGTGATTATTTTTGTTTCTCTCTTGTCTTCTGCTTTGTTTTAGTGCTTATATCCACATTGTTTTTATTTGAACAACACTTTGTTAAATTTCATATGCTTTTTATTGCGTTCTTCGTGTTCTCTTTTCGATATAAGTTTGTTAAATTGGGCGATAAAACAATGAATAATAGAACGAATAATAATCAATTCAACATATTGACTTGTTCTGTTTTCTTTTTCACTTGTATTAGATGGAAAATGATGTATTTATTACGCAAGCTTTCCATACAAATCCAGATAATCAACGTATGGAGAAAATTCTTCTTCTACAACGTCTCATTCGTTCCTATTACGTTCGTCGACAATTTGAAGACGTGCGAAAAGAATATTTGAAAACATTAACAGATATCGAAGGAGAAATGGCAATCAAACCAATTGAATCTCATCCAATTAAAGTCGAAGAACCACTCAAACAAACAAGTAAAACATTCCTTCAATTAAAATATTCCGTCAATACCTGTATTTTCGCTTCTAGTTGCTGTACTTCCATCCAGAGAAGAATTACTACGAAAACGAGAGGAAATTGCTATTGAATTGTTATGGATGGAACAAGCGATTCAGAGTCGCAAAGATTACTTACGTTTGAAATCTCGTTATACTAGTTCTATTTCTTAAGAAGAAAAAAATAAATTGTTTGCGTGTGTGCTATTGTACAGATTCGAATTAGGAGAATAATAGACTAATGAATTTTTTAAATCATTTGCTTTTTTTAAGATGAAATTTGATTGATTTGAAGAAAAGAAAAAAAGAATGAGCGGTGTTCAATTGAAACGATTACTTGTTGCCTTGAACCGAGTTAAACAACATGGTAAACAGTGATCGGTTGTTTGTTCGATGGTTGATAATTGACGTTTTTCAGGATATATCCCAGTGTGTAAACAATCAACAGCTGTTCAACCGAAAAAAGAACCTGAAAAAGTAGAAGTTTTCGTCGATGGTAAACCTGTGCAAGTGGAACCAAATTCAACTGTCCTTCAGGTAAAATTTCACAAAACAAGGAAGATTTGCTCGAAAAAAACTATAATTGCTGTTCTTCTTTAGGCATGTGCTGTTGCTGGTGTCGAGATTCCACGTTATTGTTATCATGAACGTCTATCGATTGCTGGTAATTGCCGAATGTGTCTTGTGGAAATTGAAAAGACACCTAAAGTACGAATGATATTCGATATTTATCTATTTTATGACTGTTCGTATGTTTCTGTAGCCGGTTGCCAGTTGTGCCATGCCTGTCATGAAAGGCATGCGAATTCTCACTGATTCGCCATTGACAAAACGAGCACGCGAAGGTGTCATGGAATTTCTACTTGTCAATCATCCATTGGACTGTCCAATTTGCGATCAAGGTGGTGAATGTGATTTACAAGTAAAGCAATTAACAAAATCAAGTTTAGATTTCATCATTTAAACTACTTTTCAAGGATCAATCAATGGCATTCGGTAGCGATCGAAGTCGTTTTACCGATAATGAATTTTCTGGCAAACGGTATGATAAAGTGCAAATTCCCCAATAAATCATGTTTGGCTGTTTTTTTTTCTCTAGATCAGTAGAAGATAAAAACATCGGTCCACTTGTAAAAACTAGCATGAACCGTTGTATTCATTGTACACGTTGTGTTCGTTTTGGAAATGAAGTCGCTGGAGTTAGTGATCTTGGCACAACTGGACGTGGTGGAGATATGATTATTGGCACATATGTCGAACGACTTTTCATGTCGGAACTTTCGGGTAATGTTGTCGATTTATGTCCAGTTGGTGCATTACTATCGAAACCTTATGCATTCACTGCACGACCATGGGAAACAAGGTAGAAACGACATTCGTTACAATCGGCTTATATAAAGTTCATGTTGTTTGTAGAAAAACGGAATCGATCGATGTTATGGACGCATTGGGTAGTAATATTGTTGTCAGCACACGTAGTGGTGATGTTCTTCGTGTAATTCCACGATTAAATGAAGTAATAGAATACAAAGTGTTTTATTAAATACATTTTCATGGTGAAATATGATGTTTAGGAAGTAAATGAAGAATGGATTTCGGATAAAACACGTTTCTCCTACGACGGTTTGAAAGTACAACGTTTAACAGCTCCAATGTTAAAAAGCCGTGAAGGTCATCTTGTTCCATGCGATTGGGAAGATGCATTAAGTGTTGTTGCTGAACGCGTAAGCTCTACACTATAATCTCGATTAATATACATTGACCAATATATATATAGATTGGTCGATTAGGAAATGGCTCGAAGGTGGCTGCACTTGCTGGTCGTTTTTGCGATGCCGAAGGACTTATTGCTTTGAAGGATTTCATGAATCAACTTGGTTGCGAAACTGTTTGTGTTGAGGAACGTTTTCCCAATGTTGGCGCTTCGTAAATATTTACATTCAATGTCTGAACTTTGCATCATCTCCAATCCTTTATTCTAGAACTGATCTCCGCAGTAATTATCTATTCAATGGAACCATTGCTGGCATCGAACAAGCCGATTTAGTCATTCTGATTGGCACAAATCCACGCTATGAAGCACCAGTTTTGAATGCACGAATACGTAAATCGTATGTAATGTTGAACTAATCATGATGAAAATAATACCTTCGAATATTTTCAGATATCTCCATAATGATTTGAGAGTAGCTGTCATTGGACCAAAGATTGATTTAACTTATTCATACGATCATTTGGGAGATAGTACGAACATTCTCAGTGAATTAGCATCTGGCAAACACGCATTTTCCAAGGTTTATTGAGATGAAATTCTTGTCCTATTTGATCCGAATTAACATTTCTTTTTTTATAGGCTTTAAATGAAGCCAAACGTCCGTTGGTTATTTTAGGAAGTGCAATGTTTGAACGTTCTGATGCAGCGTCAGTCTATGCTAGTGCGGCGCAATTAGCCGAAAAATTACGTAATACCGCTTCAAAAGAAGACAGCGAATGGCGTGTATTCAATGTTCTTCATCGAGTATGTTATTACTTTGTATTGTTTCAACGAGAATCGCTTTTTCTCTTTCTCTGCAGTTTGCTTCGCAAGTAGCAGCCCTCGATCTTGGATACAAACCGGATGTTAAAGTATGCATCTCGATAGCATCTTTCTTATTCTCAAGAACAAAAATGTTTCATTTCTAGAGCATCATTGATTCAAAACCAAGTCTGTTGTATTTATTCGGTGCTGACGAAGGTTTAATCAAACGAGAAGATTTACCAAAAGATTGCTACATTGTCTATCAAGGTCTGCCGTTTCTTTAAGTAAAATTTCTGTTTAATCATTCGTTATTCGAATTTTAGGTCATCATGGTGATCGCGGTGCCCAGATCGCTGATGCTATCCTCCCCGGAGCTGCATACACAGAAAAGCATGGTATCTATGCCAACACGGAAGGTCGTGCTCAACAAACCCGTCTAGCAACAACACCACCAGGCAAAGCACGCGAAGATTGGAAGATCATTCGTGCATTGGCGGAAGTAAGTTCAATTGTAATGAAAAGATCTCCTCAGCAATATCTTTTTCTTCATAGATATGCGGTGTCGGCTTACGTTACAGTGATCTCGATGGTATTCGCGAGCGTATTGAAGAAGTTGCACCCAATCTGACTCGTTTGAATTGTATTGAAGAAGCAAATTATTTCAAACAAAACACAGAATTATTGAAACAACATCAAGCCTCGTTTCAAAATCAGCCATTAACACCACCCATCAATAGTCTTAAAGATTTTTATATGACCGATTCAATCAGCCGTGCATCATCGACAATGGCAAAATGTGTCAAAGCTGTTGAGCAACAATTAAAATCACCGCATAAAAATTAGATATTTGCAAACATTGACGAACTAGTTTTCTTCTTCTTTCCTCCCTCTTCGTCTTTTTTTTGTATAAATCCTTTAAAGTAGCATTTTGGCCATTGTCTCTTTCTTTTTTTTTCAAACAATAAACAAACGAAAACATCCGCATGTGTTCTTCTGAGATTAATAAAAACATCTTGTTATTCTAAATTTTAGATTAATAAGCATGGCGAAATATTCTTTACCAGAAAAGATGTTCACATCAACGTTACAATACACACATACTCGAAATCTCTTCTTGGTATGCATGAGTATCGTGTATACATTCGCATTTGCGTCATTGTATTGGCAACAAGCTGGTTTATATTCAGATAATGGCGTTTTGCCATTACGTTTACAAATTCAACAGCAAGAAAACGTTCAATTGTTTATTGTTAAAGTAGCAAAAATGCTTCGTTGGACACCTTATCGAATTATGGAATGTATACTTTTAATCTCGATTTGCTTAAGTTCGTCAATGATTCTTTTTAAATGTCTTCGTACAAGTGTGACATTTGCAATGCTTTGGCTAGCTTATTACAGTTGCTTTCAAATTGCTGGTCAGTTTTTGTATTTTCAATGGGATACATTGTTATTAGAAGCGGGTTTTCTAACTATTCTTGTCGCACCGATGAGAATTCTGTATTTAAAACGCAAACAAGTCGAAGATTTCCTCTATCAAGATCGAATCACTCTTTGGTTAGTTCGATGGCTCGCTTTTCGTCTTTTATTTGCTAGCGGAATTGTTAAGCTAACAGGCGGCGACAAAACATGGTGGGCATTGACAGCAACAACATTTCATTATCAATCGCAATGCATTCCAACACCATTGGCATATTATGCACATCAAGCACCTGTTTGGTTGCATAAGCTATCAACAGCATTGGTCTATATGTTTATGTCGGGCACGGGTATTTTGTTCTTTTCACCATTTCGTGTTCATCGTCTAATTGCTTTTGTGGTGCAAACGAGCTTACAACTCTTAATTGCAATAACTGGCAATTATAATTTCTTCAATTTCCTGACTATTGTTTTATGTTTCGGTTTGATTGATGACCGATTTTTGGGTTATTCACAATGGCAGTCAGCGGACGATGAACAGAGACCAAAACGACCTTTTTCATGGTTAACAGCCATATTTCGACGATGTATTCATCTATTAGTTCTGATTACATACACTTATTTGACTGTACGTTGGTTCGGAATTCATTGGGATAAAAAACAACAGATTATTGTCACAAATATCACATTCACTCGTGCACAATTTGACTTTTTCTTGAAAAGATTTTTAGCCATTTGCCTGTTTCTCGCTTGGTGCTCGTTAGTTTTCACTATTGGACGATCAGCTTTTATTGCCATTCGACGACCAACGAAGATCTATGGAAAAATCTTTCATGCATTAGTGACAATTGCTTATGGCATTCTAGCAATGAGTCTATTCTTTGTTTCGATGGTACCATTCACTGTTATCGAACGGCAAACAGCCAAAGCTCTACCATATGAACTACAAGCCTGGTACAATAAATTTCAAGATTATCATGTTTTCAATGCCTATGGATTGTTTAGAAGCATGTAAGTTATTTCAATAGATGACAAACTTTGATGTTTGAACGAATAAAATGTCAATGAATAACTTTGTTTCAGGACGGGAGTCGATGGTCGACCAGAATTGATCATTGAAGGAGCAATGAGTATGAAAAAGTAAGTGATTCTACCACTATAATGATCAGATTTCATTCTATCGTTCTTCTAGTCCCAAATGGAAAGAGTATGAATTCTACTATAAGCCTGGCGTATTGTCTACCACACCACCATTTGTTGCTCCGCATCAACCTCGATTAGACTGGTTAGTATAAAACTTTGACATCACATTTTTTATTGTGTCTCTCTGTGCTAATTTAGGCAAATGTGGTTCGCTGCACTGAGCCATTATCAACATGAACCATGGTTGGCATTTTTTCTCTATCGACTTCTAACAAATCAACCTGAAGTTCTACGACTGATTCAAACGAATCCCTTCCCTACGACACCACCGAAACAGATACGTGTTGCTCTCTATCGGTATAATTTTACTAAACCACCTGCGAAAGATTATTGGCAACGCGAACTGGTCAATCAAGAATGGTTTCCATCTATTACTTTAGAAAGTCAATGGTTCATATCTTACATCGAACAGCTCGGTGTTACGCAAATCGATAAACCCTTATCGAAAAATCTCTTCTTGGATATTATACGTATGATGAGTGATCTGATGAATGGAACTATCTTTACATGGTTTCCTGTTGTTATTGCTTTGGTATTTGTCATTCTACGAAAACTTCTCTGCACAAAACCTCATAAACCAGTCGTTATGAGACGAGATCATGAATGGTATCAACCTGTACCAATGAAGGATAAAGAAAATTAATTGCTCTAGTCTTACAAAAGTCAAAATATTTGTTTTTTTTTCTCTTTGCTTGCTCATTACTGTATTCAATATTGTTGTGATTTGCTATTGTATTGTTCAATAAATAAAAAAAGTGCATGCACATAACATACATGACCTTTTCCATTGAAAAGTTGCACTACTATGATCTCACCATAGAAGCGTTCGAAAGTTCTGCTCTATATCAGAGCGTCATTTGTGTGAGTCAGATGATAAAAGTTCGTGTTTTTGTATTTTCTTCTTTAAAATCTTATCTTACTTTCCAAAAGTGTAAGATAACTCTCTATCATCATTCATTTGCATCTCACTTCACGATGTTTTTTACACTTGTTTTACTAGGCGCCCTTTATATTTCAACTGTAAATGGCTGGGGTGCCACTGGACACGCTCTTGTTGCTAAGATCGCACAGAATACCCTAACTCAAGAAGCGCAGAAATTTGTTCAAGATCATTTACCATGGTATGCGAAAGGAGATTTAAGTATGCTAGCATCATGGCCTGACACGATCTTATATCCGGATACGAATCCCGTCGAATATCTCAATTGGCAGTGGTCAAAAGAACTACATTATGTTAACACACCAGATTGGTCATGTAATTATGACCGTAATCGTGATTGCGATTGGGCTGGAAGCCAACGTTGTGTTGATGGAAGTATTCAAAACTACACAAATCGATTGGCGGACACATCCTTAGATTCGACACAACGACAGGAAGCATTGAGATTTTTAGTACATTTTATTGGCGATGTTCACCAGCCACTTCATGCAGGTTTTACTAGTGATCGAGGAGGAAACTCCATTAAGGGTATGAAAATTTTTCTTTGTCGAAAACGATCATAGTTTTTTTAATCCAGGTCAGTTTTTTGGCAAAGCAACTAATTTACACTCTCTGTGGGATACTGTGATGATTGAACGTCGTATTTCTACGGATTTTCAAAGTGATTCGAGTAAATATCTGGCCTATCTTCTTAATGTTATGCATACCACTTATATACGAAATATTTCCCAATGGACAAAATGTCCGTCAAATGATGAATCGAAATATTTAGCTTGTTCTACAGCATGGATTGACGAAAACAGTGAGTTAAATTGTGACCATGTCTATCGTAACGAGCAAGATCAACGTATGACTATTTCTCAACAATTTAAATTAAGTGACATTTATTTCAACACACGAATGGTCTTTGTCGAAGCTCGACTTCTTCAAGGCGGTGTTCGACTCGGTGCTGTTATCAATAAAGTAGTCCAATTGCAAAAACATCATCATTCTAAAAAAGGTCATGATCAACTATGTACAGGCACGATGCTGTTAATGGCAGTGATCCTCTTGCAAGTTGTCTTAGCATTTCTTATTGTGATATATGTCGCTGCACGTCGAAGAAACTACCGAAGACCGTTAGCTCAAACGCCAGGTGTGTTTCATAGTGCCAAAGCATAAACGATTTTTATTCAAAGACTTTGAAATAAATGAAATATACAAATCTCTAATCTATCATCAGCTGATGTGCTGTGTTGTTCATTTATCAATAGTGTTAGGCTTAGAACACCATCGCGTGATAGAATTGTGTGCATTGTCTGTCAGACAACATTTTATAGAAAGAGAGAAAAATTAACGAATAAAAGACACAATTCGAGTTGCACGCCGAACCAAATGAGTAGAGAGAAAGAAGATTAAATAATCAATAGAAAAAATTTCATAAATGTGTGTTTTTTTTTCTTCTTTTTACAAAAGAAACTATAGGAATAGATGTTTTGATAAAACAAGACATAGAAGAACAAGAACAACAGCAAGATAATAGATACAACGAATAAATCAGACGCAACAATCTATTGTCTTTTGGTTTTATGGCTATTTGCATTTCCATTACTTAATTCTAGGATTGACGACGCTGACGAACGAATAGATGCACTCGAATTTGATCTTGGTGGTTCACTAAAGGAGAATTTCATTGGTGGGGTGACTTTTTGCGTCGTAGCAGACGGAACTGCGCGATCCAATTCATCGTTGGTACTAAAGGCAAGAACAGGCGTTAATTGTTTCGATTGATCAGCAGACGATGTTCGATTCGTTGATTTCGGTCGACTTATCGATGATAAAGTATTCGAAAACTTAATACTATTATTCGTTTTGACTGATGCCACACTGGCAGATAACGGTTTCTTCTTCGAGACGGATGCTGATGCAACGAGCATGGTGCGATGATCATTGATTGGCTCAGATCCGTTGTTTTGATTGTGGAAAAAATCCCCTACGACTAAACTGTTTGCAAGTGAATCGACGGTGTGTGCGACAATCGACTGACGTAATTGACCAGGTGTAGTCGGTCGATGAAGAACTGAATCAACAACTGATTTACTTTTGAAATCATACACGGACGAGGCATATAAATTATTATTGTAAGACTTCTGAGTATGTGGTGCTGGCGGTATATTTGTTTGTGAGGAATATTTTACAAGCATAAGATCATCGCCACTCAATTCTTGATCAATAGTTTGTAGTTTATCCGCAAGATCTAAGTCCGCTTCCATCACATCTTCATCTTCCTACAGATATGACTTCAGAGATAATGAGCTATTTTTTCGAAATAATGTGTTACCTCATCATTATCCTGCTCATTGTCGGATGTTTGTTCGAGGACTTGGTCGCCATTTTTACATAGAAGGTTTAACAGAAACTCGAGTTGACCTTTTGTCTCTGAATTGTAAGTTTCTGTGCGTATGAGTGCTCGGAGACGGTTATCAAGATTCTAAATACAATCAAAAGTAGGATATTCGAACCAAAGAGCATTCTTACTAATTCATTCGCTTTATCGCGAATTAACTTAACAGTCAAAACCGAATACAGTGACGAGTTTACATATGGTCGGGTCTAAATATAGATATATACGTACGTGTTGGAAATGAATATAACATGTCATTCATGACTCACCTCGTGATTAGGATGAGATAATAGATTTGAGAGAACCGTGATCACTTGTTCAGCAATTTCAGCGCATTTTTTTCGACCATTTGTTCGCAAGCATAGATTCATGAGTAAAGCGACACCATATTCTAAAATGATTCATCGTGTATAACATGACATGTACATAATCTTACCTAGTGTATAATCAGACAGATCATCGGTTTTGCTCAGTAATGGTACGAGCCATTTGATCATATTTTGATTGATCATTATTGTTTGAACAGATCGTCTACAAATGTGAAGAAAATATTTGATAGAATTGCGCGAGAAACTTTGAAAGTCTTACCGAAGACTGAGTTTCTGTAAGGCAGCTAGAAGATGCTGTCTAGTAGACGTATCCGATGACTCGAGAATAGCTGATTTCTGCATGCAGATAATCAATGATTCATTTGATACTAAATAGTTTCGACCTAGGAAAATTTTCACAACTACAGTTGTCAATTGTATTTTTATATGACTTTTCGTTACCTTTTCTTAATGAAGCAATCGTATTGATCAATCGTGCCCATTCTTCTTTGACAAATTCCGTTTCTCCTGTGGACGGTGCTGTTAATTCTTTAATAATTTTTGATTGTTGTTCCGTGTCAGTATTACAACCTAATAAGTCGCAAGCAATGTAACTTTCCAGCATTTTTTCTCGTTTAAAATCTGTTCTAGCTTTCGTTAATTTCCAACGTAGAGCTTGAAGAAGCAACGCCTTTTGTCGTGCTGGCGTAGACACGTGAATGACATCGCGTTTTATTTTGGTATAATCAAACTTCTCCGTGAATGGATCATCGATTCTAGATAATCAGAATAAGACAAATGAATTGTGAAAATGCTCCTGAGTTACCCTAAACGAGCTGATTCCATGACATTCGGCAATGACTCACGTAATCGTGCTAAACCAAGGCGTGTGCAAACATTATCAATGTAATCATTCGTAATAGTCTTTCCGACAATTGCTTGTTGTAATGTCTCCACTAGTTCCATGGTTATGCCTATGGATAGATGAGTATCAATGAAATTGAATATAAAGTTTCAACTTACTGATTAAATTACAATAATCAGTACTTAAGTTTTTGATTTGTTTATTCGTTTCTCTGTTTCGATCTTTAAGCTCTTCATTTTCCGTGTTTAATTGAGTTAAGACATGCGAAGCACGTTCACCGTTTTGTAATAATTCTACGAGACGAGGTAACGGTCGATTGGAAAAAATCCAATCGAAAAAATTCGAAGCTTTCTTTCGTAGCTGTATCGGCCACTCATTCTGAACAAGTCAAAGACGACATGAACAAAGAGTTTGCCATGGAAATCACTTACTGAGAATAGTTCTTGAAATGATGCATGCTTATCAGGTGAAGCAACAAATGGTAATGCAAATAATGGCAGAATATCACTGGTTTGCGATATCGCTTGACCTTTAATTGTTTCCATGTATGTTTTCAATACCTGCATGTTCTCCTTAGCTGCAACATCGTTCTAAAATATTCGTGATTTAAGAAAAGTAAATGAAATAGAAGAGATAAATGTTAGTAATACTTTTATTAAGGCATTCGGACGGAGATAATAGATTGCAAAATGTGCATAAATCAAAAACTCCAATGATTTCAATGATGGATCACTGGCGATTACGTTGCTCGGTATGTGTGCCGACCACAGACGAAAGAAATCAGCACGATTTCCATCATCGAGGTATTTTAACATATCATTCTGAAAAGAAAGATCAGGGAAACGTTTCATCGAGTTTTTTCCTATACAATTACTTTGATTGTCTGATATTTTTCTTGATCTTTATCTTGCGTTGGCTTCCCATTTGAAATGTCATAAATCGGCTCTTGACGACTTTTTCGTTCTTTCAAAAATATGCCGACGGTTTCATTAAAACCTTTGTAATCGAGATATTCAATAACAAAATCATTTATGCGAAAATCAATTGATTGAGACATTTATTGGATTTGCTTTTTCTACTATGAATATGCGTTTTATTAAACAAATCCATTTCTTATGTTGCTTGACACTACCTCCAAATATGATCGCTCCATGCGACATCTATCGATGCATTGTTACAGCAAAGAATTCTTCGACAATTTCATGCAGAAACTTAGAAAGGATTAATCATTTTCAGCCAAGTAAATCTGTTTCGATGAGGATTTCTATTTTTTGCACAACATCTGATCTGCATGATGAGACAAAGACCTTTGTTTCGATTTGACATGGCATCGATTGAACGTTCTTTGAATTTACTGTCGGTAGCCACCACCATTCATGATTGGTTCATAGTAAGTCATGTTCTATATGGCTAAAAACAAGCTTACTATTATGTATGATCGTGCACGAGATCACATGATAGATATACATTGAGCTAAAAATCGTTAATTTTTGTCTCTAAATCATTAACTTGTAAGGTCGTTATACTATATATCTTCGTTAAGGCTATATCGCGAGCCTCTTAATTAACGTTCTAGGTTAGGTATCGAATAATTTTTTCCGATATGATTAGAGTCATACACCAATGCCATCACTCGTGCGATCAATGTGAATTAACGCCTACTCGCCAATCAAATGCTCAGTGACGTAAAATATTTATTCGAGTATAACTCTACGCTCTTCTTTGTGACGATGATCCCAGTAGTGAATATGTATTTGACTCATTAAAATGTAAAAGTAAGACTTGTTAAATATTTATCTTCGACGTTCACTCTGTCATTAATCTTCGATGAATAGGAACTAATCAACTACGAATACGTCGTGTAAATTCGTGTTTATCGATACAAGATAGGATAAATTTGCTTGGTCTCTTTACGTTTATCAAGCAAGTATCACTAAAAACAAATTGTCATGTAATGAGAAAGTATTCGTACTGTTCGAACAGTGATGACTGTCCTTTTACTATCGACAGGTACTTGTTATAAATCGAACGATACGAGTATCATTTGACGATATATTTGTTTTCCTCTCTATCCATATAAATAATCGATTATCCAGATGTCGAGACAAGAGTCTGGTTTATCTTCGAAAGAAAACCGCCCATTTTTTCCATATATACAACGAAATGATTTTATAACCAAACTTTAAAATCTTTTTTCTTGTAGATATGTCATCTCCAGGTAGTTACGCAAAAGGTTACGTGCGTTGGACGGCTGGTGGCAAACGTGTTATGTGGGATGGTAATCGTTGGCAACAATTATGTCAAATAGAAAAATGCCTCAAACGCGACCAGAAATCTCAAGGCGTATGTCTTATACATTTTCGTGAACAACAAGAAAACAAATTGAAAACTAAAACAAAAAAGTTCAAAATTGATGAGAGACCAGAGACAAACAAATCAGATAAAAGCAAAAAATCTAGTCAATCAAAAAAAGCATCTATGCCAACACGTTCCAAACGAATCAGATCAAACAGTAAGGAGTGAAAGATTGATAATTTCGCTCTCGAATTCTTCGTTTTTTGTTCTAGATTCTCTAAATGGCTCAACTAAAGTAAGTTAAAACGAAATGATTTGATAGAGCTAGATGAGAAGTTACGCATTTCTTTGCGAGTGTCTTATAGTGAACTTGAATAGTTCGATTCAGATGTTTTCTTTGTTTTTTCAGACTTCACAAATAAGCCCATCCAAATCTCACAGATCATCTCGAAAGCTGGTGCTTGTTTGTTCGTCACTAACTCGTCAGCAATTGGTATACGATCTTTACGACCTTTCTCAAACGTTCTCTTCACATTTTTCTATCTTTAGTCTCAAATAGAATTATTCTGTAGTCGCTTTTCTGCTCGTTTATCAAACCAAATCGACGAAACAACTACCCATCTAATAGCAAGTGAAGTTGAACAACGTGTATGTTGTCTAACGAAAAAAGTTTTCTTCGCTGTTGCATATCACGTCTATGTTGTTGGTTATCAATGGATCGAAGAATGCCTAAGTAAACAAACACTTCTCAACGAAGAATCGTATGAAATTCTCGGCGATGCATCTCTATCTTCTCAACACAACGGCATGCATCGTTCGCGGCTAGTTCGCGAGCCTATTTTCAAATCTTATTCCTATACAATTGCCGTCGAATGTTCCATCGGTTGTCAGCAAGGGATGTTCAATCGACAAGAACTCGAAGAACTCGTGCAATTATCTGGTGCTAATCTATTGCAAGAAGACAATCGAAATGACTTAGATATCGACACAACTATCATCGTTCTATGTGATGATGATGATAAATTGGTCATGAAGAAATATCAAGATATCAAAAATAAAGTTCACTATGTCATTCCTGAGTTCTTTCTCGATTCAATTGTACTATATGAAGTTCAACCCATCAAAGGCTATGAATTGCTCTATCAAATAGAGTAGTCTGTACATACCGCCAAATAGTTTTCAAATGTATATGTATGTGTGTTGTCAGTTTTTGGCTTTTGTTTTGTGTTTCCTAAAGTATATCTATATCTTTTGCTTATTTCTTTAATGTTTCAGGATAGTTCAAAAGAAAAAACGAAATGAAATTGATTGTATATGCACTGCATTATATGTATTTTGTAGATAAACTGCGAAAACGACTTCCTATTAGCTGATCATTTTTATTTTTGTTTTCTGTCGAACGATTTCTTAATAAATATTTGTTTATTGGAGTAGAAGTTACCGAATGAAATAAAAACATTTGAGAACAATAGTTTACTTTCGTTTTTAGATTGAAGATATCATGAATTCTTTAGTAAATCATTCGACAACAACAAGTGACTTTAATAAATCATTGGATGAACTGTTGAATTTCGCTGAGAGTCTCAAACTACGCGAAAAAGAACTCGATCAACAACATAAACTAGACCTAGAGAAGCAAAAAGTAGAATACGAGACTCAAGTTCAATTCGAGAAGAAACAGGTTGAACAATTACAAGAAATCAATCGTTTATTACGAGAGAAAGTTCAACGAGAAGAACAAACACAAGCTGCTGCAGATAAAAAATATACAGTAGTCATCGATTTCGAGTATTTTCTTGACCTTGTGCACGTTCTTTTCAGGAATTAGAAACCAGATACAAATGTACTGTAGAGGAATTGAAACAAATCAAAAACCAACATCATGAAAAACAAGCACGCATCGAAGAATTGGAAAAAATCGCACGAATTCTCACCAGTGATAAAACAAAACTTGAAAAAGAAGTTCAACAACTCAAACTCGACAATCAGACTCTACAAGATCAACTGAAACAAACGCCAACCACTACCGCATCACGTAAGTACATATAACAACACTCAGATTGTTCATTGAATGAACTTCTTCTAGCACATGTACCCAATGAAATACTTGAATTAGTCGAAAAAGCGGTGGTCGAAAATAACGAATTAAAAAAATTATTAAGTGAACGTGATAGTAGTATTCAAAGCCTGAACGAACAGTTAAGCAAAACTCAAGGTGAAGATCCTCAACTTGCCGAACAACGTCTCTTACAAATGCTCGCAAAATTAAAAGCGGATTTTCGTCTCATGTATGAAAATCAATCGAATTTTTTTCTGGAAAAAATTGATCTTCTTAAACAAAAGCAACGTGATAATATAGCTAGTCTTTATAAACATTAAATCTTGTTTTTTCTTTGTATTGTGTGTGTGTGTGTATATATATATCTGACGAGATGTATATTTATTGATAAAAACCTTAAGTGAAACGTTGTCCTGTTAGAAGAAAACGAAAAATTGTATTTTTTTATGTTTTCAGATCGAATTGCGTTGATTGGTTCGTTGTAAATTATTTTCCAGCGTCGGGAAAAAAACATGTTTATATAGGAATGGGTTTTTTCTTTTCTTATCGACGAATTTTTTTTAATCTATGATGTAAACAGCAGAGCTGGATTGATTCAAAGTTTTTATACTAGATCGATATGTCATCTTCATCATCACCTCATAATCGACAAGATATCAAATATCGAGAGATTTGTATCTCAAATATCAATAGACACACTGAACCTAATCGATTGTTGCAAGTATTCGAGTATTGTATTTGTCCTAATCGAACTCCTATCTGTTTTCTAGAGCATATTTTGAGCAATATGGTCGAATTGTGCATTATAACTATACTTCACCGACAGGCGGTTATGTTTTCATCACATATGAAAAATCACAGATGGTCGATAATTGTATAAGTAATGGGCCGCATTATCTCGACGAGCGACATTTGTAAAATGATTGTTTATGCCATTGGGTTTTTTGTTTTATTTGATTTTGTATATCTACATAGATACGTTAAACGTGCTCTACCTATTGATGATGATCATCCTCGTGAACGATTTGAAACTACACGTGATCTGATGGTTGTGATTGATTCGGATGATGAAATCTTCAAACAAGCCGACTTTTTACAGCAACTCCGAGAATATTTCTCATCTTATGGACGAATCTACGCTTGTAAATATCAACACGAAGCAAATTTTGATTATATTTTAGTTGAATTTGCGGATAAAGGTAAACGAAAACATGTTATCTGATAACTTTACCATCTTTAATTTAGATCCAGTCGATCGGATTATTCTTGATAAACCACATCATTACAATGATCATGAGCTTGCCGTGATGAAATATATTCAATCTAATATTGAATTAATGAATAGAAAGTACGTTCGCAAAAAGCAACAATCATCAACTGCCAAAGATGCCATTGATGATGATAATTATCAGTCGATCAATTCGTCGAGTAATACTTCTTCCAGATCGACGTCGAAAGCGAAAGAGCCAATTAATGAAGTAGATCTTCAGAATGAAGTCTTTCGCCTTCAAAGTGTTTTAAAAAGTCTGAACGATGAATTTGATCTGAAGCAAAAACAATTAGAAGATACCTGCTGTCAACAATTGAAGCAACTGAGTGAAAATGCGACGAAAAAAATTCGTCTACAACAAGATCTCGAACAAGGTATAGTTAGTCATACACGATGAACTCACAATTGACTTTTGTTACCTTTTAGAATGTGCGAGACTATTAGCTGAATATGAAACGTTGAAACAAGAGAACGATTTGCTCAATGAACAATATTTGACAGTCGAGTTGGAAAATTTCGAAATAACGTCTTATTATGAACAGAGTCTCAATGAAGAAAAAGCGAAAACAGCTCGATTAGAAGCTGAATACGCTGAAAAATTGCAACAATCAAATGTTAATCAATCTCCTCCATCAACTTTGACAGAAAAATCGTTCTCCACGCCGGAGTCCAACTGAATGTGAAAACAATATTGAATCATTTTACTTTTGTTATATTTTCATTTCTTCAACAAATGAATAATCTTTGTTTGATGGTTTTTATTTATATGTCAATGAAAAAGCAATAATTTCGGAGAAGATTTCTTTTCTGTTATAATTTTTAGATACTTCAACAATGACAGATAAGAATGAATGGGTTATATTTATCAAAAACATTCCGTATGATATCAATGAAAATGGACTATCCGAATGGTGTATGTCATTTGGTCCAGTGAAGGAATGCTCGTTAAAACGTGATAGATTTGGCCATTCACGCGGCTTTGCCTTCGTTTCGTTCGCAAATATTGATGGTTATAGTAATATATGTAAGAAAGAAATTAATTTCTTTATACTGTTAGTTAAGAAAATGAATCGTAAAGTTACTTTCTCCGTTTTGTTTGACTTGTCTTTCTTTCCATCTCGAATGAGAATTTAACCATCTGATAGAATGTCTTTTATTGTATTCTCATATGTACGGAATCGATGGTCTTATGATTAAATTCGTTAACAAAAGGACTATTCCCGAGTTGATTCGATTGAGATGATCTATTCGTATCTCACACCGCAAAAGAACTCAGTATTTCGAAGATGATAAGTCAGATCATGTTGGCTAGTTACGCTGCCAATTCATAGTCATCGCATGCATGCATATCAATTATGGGCGAGATGTAAAGAAGGCATCTATCGGGAGTGGAGTTATGCTCGTTCCGTATGGAGAATTAGACAATGATGATAAAAATAAAGAAATGAAAAAAAAAAGAAAATTTTTCATACGATGTTGAGTGTCAGTAGTAATCAACTAAAACAAAGTCGAGAAAGAATATTCAGTTCTCGCTTTAGAACGATCGTTGTTCACACCCACACTCAACGGAATTGATGTTTACGAATTTATTGTGTATTTTCAGTATCATCTGGTCCGCATTCCTGTCTAGGCCGACCGTTAATAGTCAAATCAGCAAATGAGCAAAAGAGTTCGAACGATTCGCCATCCTATGCTTCGGATCAACAATCACAAGCAACATCGTTCCTGTCGACTAATGATAACTTTAGCTCGACTACGGTCGACAATGGTGTCGCATTTGATGATGAAAATCAGAATCATCTAGCAAATCTACGCGATGAATTGGAAGCGAATCTTGAATGTCTTCAAATTGCACATGATCATGAAGTGAAAATTCTCAGTGAAAAACTTGCGAAGGAAAAGAAGCTTTATCAAGATGCTCTTGAGTCGTACAAAGACGTTGAAGAAAACTTGACAAAAGTTCGAGAGGATAATATTCGAATACGCACATCCTTAATCAAAAATGTCATGCAAACATTCAATATTCGACGGAATTTAGCTCGTCAAATCAAAGAACAGATAAACAATTGTAGTCAAATCGAAGGACAATGTGACACACTTCGACAACAAACGACTTAAATACAATTTTTTAAAAATATTTCGTGTGAAGAAAATGTACTCAATCAGTGTTTGCTTCTTGCTTTCTATTCCAAACCTTTCGTTAATAGAGAACAGCTGCCGATGATAATTACTGCAATAGTCTCTATTAATTCAACTCTTCCCAAAATTGTGTATCTCTAATTAATTCGTATCACTGAATCGTCGACGCTAACATTTTGATAATGTCAATGTTGTTTTATAATTGACAAAGCCTGGATATATAGCAAATATTGACTTTCAGTTACTTTTCTCACTCGCAAGGAATACATAATTAATTTTTCAAATTCTCGGTAAATAGTTACATGTGAAAATCTGAAAATAGGAGAAAAAGTCAACTGAATCTAATGAGAGAACGTGTCAAGAGTTCTTTCCTCTTCATTTCTCGTTGGGAAAAAAAACGAAGAAAAAAAAAGACTTTAACCAATATATTTCTTGTATGAATAACACTCAGGTTGTTTCTGTTGTTCTGAAGACTAGTTAGACGAAGATCAGATACAAAAAGACCCATATTTTTTAATATTCCCAATGAGTCGTCATTCGAAGAGATATTTTTCTTTGGAGATTCAGACTAAACATCGAATTATATAGTCTTTTGTCCTTATTCTAATCGATGAGTAAATATATTGATCAGTTGACTGATCGATGTGTCAAATGGTCTATTTTCACTAGAAAAAGTATATCGATTTCTCATTGGTAATCAGAGCATAACAGAATCTATCCCGTTTCTTCTGACATTTACATCATGCAGAAGCAAATACATCGTGAACGTTGAGTTTAGATGAAATATTTAATTAAAGAAAGTGATGCAAACCATGAATGATTCTCTTTCTTCTCTCTCTCTCTCTCTCTCTCGGTCTTCTTTCTGTTAGTTACATATTCTACCATCTTGACATGAGATATTTTCTTTCGTGAATAACTAAAAACATAGAACATACTTAATCATGATAGATATAATCAAATATAAGAAGATTCCAATGAATCAAACATGACAATATAGGTAAGTTGAGCAACAATACAACGAATTTTGCTCTTTATTCTTGCTTCTTCTATTTGAAAACATCGATCCGTTTAGTTTCTTCGTAGTTACATCTAAGCAGTCATGAAACTGCATTAGTTTGCCTTCGCCAGTCCTCGTTTGAGAGAAGAACAACTTATTTCTTCTATTCATGTTCCACTACGTCATATTGTATTTTGTAGCCTGAAAAGACCACTTATGTCTTTTTCAAAACAATTTCCCGAACAAACCATTTCACTAATTCATGTCCGGACGACTAAACCTTTTAATAGATAGAATCTGTATATTCACCAGTGGATGGTTCTATTTTCATGAGTATAGAACTTTGTTCACTAACAAAATGCTATTTGTAATTCATTGTATTAGCCAATAAAGAGAAAAAGGAAAAGACGAAGACAGCGTTGACGCACAACAACATATATTCAACGATATTATTCGTTGAAATTGACAATCAAACAACCAACCTCCTGGAAATTCTCCAGTAACGTTTGGTTGGAAAAATAAATAAATAAATCTTCGGTTTATTTTCTCTTTGATCATCTTTGTAAATAAACCCTGAAAATATATGTCAATATCTCCTTGTTTGTCATCTCAATTCCATTAATGCACTTCGAATGTCTTAGTCTTCTTTCTTTCTTTCTTCGTTTTTTTTTATAGAGAGATGTATTTGACATAAAACATATATGCTCATGCTGTTCTTCTTCTTATTTCTTCATTGAGAATTCTTAGAAAAGCATGAAGAATGACTTTATCATCTTACAGATTTTATATGAATATTTGACTTGAACTAATTAAGTAACTTTTCTTTCTGTTCTTTTCCTTGTCCTTGTTCTCCTTCTTAGAATTAATCTGAAGTGCAAGACAAAACGTACGATACAGAAAACTTATGAAAATAGATATTCTCTCTCCCTCTCTCTCTCAGGAGTTTTATATCACCAACGTGATCTGAAAGAACAATGACAAGCTTGCGTTTAATTTTCGATTATATGAAATTATCATCGCCACGCTTTTCTTCATGTACATAACGGCATGTTCTGTAAGACTCGAGAGTATTGGAAGATACGGGAATATAAAATAAAAAAGGAAAAGAGAGAGAGAGGGGAAGAGACGTGGAAACACCATATGTCAACCAGAAGAATTAGGACAACGAGCGTTTGCGAACGTTCGATGAATTAATTATTATTCTAATCGCTTATTTTCTTGAATTTTTTTTATTCTCTTATTAGATTAAAGTAAATCCATGTTATGCACACAAAATAATTATTTCTTTATGACGAGGCGAAGAAAGAGAAACGCTATTTTCTTGTTCGGAGTTTTCTTCTTCTTCTTCTTCTCCTCTCTTTCAGTTTAGTTTCTAAAAGAAAAATAATGTGATGATTCTATAAGCAAGACCTCAGCAAGCAGTTAGAAGAGAAGCAGAGAATGTGTGTTTGATAGCGAAGAAAAAGTATTTGATCCTGCGGAAAAACTTCGTCAATATTTGACGATTATCGATTATACAGTCGTGATCTCAACCTATCCTACATAATACCCAAATTAACAACCGAGTGCCACAAGTTTTCCTCATTCTCGAACCATCCCTTCAAGGTTAGTACATATTCGTCGAGATTAGCTGAAAATTTTCATTCCGTGAAACAACCAGTAGGTACGATTTTATTCTTCTAAGAAAAAAAAACAATCAAGTTTTGATGTTTGTTTGATTCTATATTAAGAATACATTAATGGTAAGAGAGATATAATATTAGAACCCATTGCATGTTTGAATAGTAGTGAAGATCAATGGGCATGATAAAACATTACTAATCTGATTATTTTGCGTGTATTCAATCATTCTTTGTAATAAGATACTAAATGCGAATAGGCAAACAATTGGATGTGACAGCATTGAAATATTTTAGTTCTACTTTGAAACTTGAGAACGTCATGTTAAATGTTAATTTTACCTCGTATGTTTGTGAAGAAAGTTTCCAGCTAATGATTGATAGTTCGGTTGCTAAGTAAGAAAAGATGACAGTTTATCATTAATATCGAATAGTAAATGAAAGAAATAAATAAATATATATATATATATATATAAAACGCTCTCCTTGTTTCTCTTTTCAATAGACGACAGTTACAATGAAGTACTATAAAATGAGAAATATGATTAAGCTATTCATATGACTTGATAATGAACTCCATGTGTCATATTTGTAAGGATAGGGGAAAAAACGATGATGCCTAGAAGACTTGACAATTTATAAGGTGCTTTTCCTGTATACATTAGGTTGATTTTCTTTTTTTTCTCTCTTTCTATTCGATCAGAAATCGTCAACGTTGTTTTAAAATCTATTAAATACGTGAAAAGTCACAAAATCTGTTTGTGATATTACAAAAATGCATTTATTCTCAGCCGGCGGGTGTTGAAGCGCGCATACATCTTTTAATTATATTAAGGAATGCTAATACAGCGACGATAGAGAATGAGAAGCAATCCATGATCAGTCGATCTAGAAGAAAGTCAAAGAAGTCACTAGTTGTATGTTATAATAGAAAGATTATTAAATGAGAGTGTCTAGCAGATCTCGGTGACAAGATGTCACAGGAAACAAACGAACTCATGTACATCCTTTGTTCGTAAGTTAAGACAAGACAATTTTTATCATCGAACATGATTCAATTTTCGATAAACAATATCTTGTTTTTCAATACTTAGAGATATTGTTGTTGTACATGTGGACAAACATGTTGTTCGACTTTCCTACAGATGGTTTTATCTGTCCCCGTATCGTCGATATAATCAGCAAGTGGAAGTACTGTTGATTCAGATCAGCACTTTATTGATTAGGAATAGTTCGTCCTAATTGACAAATGATTTCTTTTCAAAAACTTCTTGACAGAATATCATTTCCTCTCTCTCTCTCTCTCTCGCTTACTCGCTTTTTCCCTTCGGACATTGCCAGTAATGAAGGAAAGTAATCAGTTAATTTACTATTGTAGATCTAAGTATTTAATTACATCGTTTCAACTAATGGAGCAAAATGTGTCGACATCGATTATCATTAAATGAAATGAATCTATTATTTTTCTATACGTGAGATACATAATTAATCTGCCTATAATAATAGAAAACTGCCACTTGTCCTGAAACATAGAACAGAAACAAAAGACTTGTCGATAATTACTTGCAGAAAATCATGTTGCCGTCTGCCTCAAGCAAAAAAGTCAGGTTATTGTTATGTTTCTCTATCGAGCAGTACTAGTATATAATCATCATTCTGATCGCATTTTTCTTTCAGATGAAAATCGGACAACATAGATGAACTGATGTATCGCTTGGATTTTACTTTTAGACCATCGTCTTTCAAGTCTTCCTTTTATTAACCATTAAACAAAATTAACTATGTCGATTGGAGGGGCAGTTGTTAAAGTACATTGTTTACCATTTCGAGAGTATTTCTCTGTCGACAACATCAAGTCAACACTTCGTGGCTTTGTTTACGAATATGAAACACCGAAAATTGTCACTATTCATTCAATATCAAGTAAAGTTCAGCCAATCGGCAAGTTTCGCTTGCAGTTTCCGAGTGTTTTCTTCTCTTAGTTGCATTGATGTGTCGGTTGATTCAGTTGCTCATTTTAATCTATGGAATTGCATATTTAATGATTCATAAAAAAGGTTATCAAGAAACTGATACATCAATCATTTCCTCGATTACATTGAAAGTTAAAGTAAATACACGAACGAAAAGAGAAAAAAACGCATTCATCATATGAAATATTTCTCCTTATTTCCACTAGGGTATTGGCTATAATCAAACCAGTGACAATCATACATTAGTTATTGATGGTGCCGGTATGTGAAATGAACGGATAGCTTAATCATTCTAATTTACTTTGATTAGATTATATTGTTCCACCCCAAGAAAACAATGCGCTGTTTTTAATGACCAACTTCATTCGAACTGATCAAGAACATAAAACGTGTTCGGGTAAGTGTCCGATGCGTATGCTGAACAAATAACATTAGCGATTTTCAATTGTAGAATCTATTTATGAGAAATATACAATATGTTACAGTGACGCTGATTGTGAAAGAAATAAAAACTCTCAACAAGTAAGTCTTTTCTGTGTTTTGGTTTCATTGTTACTATGAGATGTTTCATCTGACTTATAGGCGAATGGAAAATGGACTGGTAAATCGATTTGAGATTTCGCATTCCTTTTCATCTCATCACCGTTTGAATATAGGTCGTTGTCTGGGTAATAGGAATTCTTCTATCAAAGGTCGATGTGAATTGGAGGGCTGGTGTCCCGTGGAGAATGATGTTGATATACCGAATCCGATACGAGATGCATTAAACTTTACAATATTCGTCAAGAACTTTATTGAATTTCCGCGCTTCAAAGTCATTCGGAAGAATATACAGTTTGATGCTAATTATCTGAAAACTTGTAAATACGATCCGATTGAACATAAAATATGTCCGATACTTCGTGTTGGGACATTACTCGATATTGTCGAGCAAGATCCAGAAGAACAGAATCGAATGTTAAAATTGGGTGGTGTTATACGCGTGAAAATCGATTGGAATTGTAATTTAGACAAGCCATTGAATTTCTGTCTACCAGAATACTCGTTTAAACGTCTGGATGCAGCCTATAATGAATCGAAGTTTTCCTATGGATTTAATTTTCGGTAGGGAACGCAAGAAAAGTCAGATCTGATCTATTTTCGATATTTATAGATTTGCATCACATTGGAAATACCAATTTCGTTCATATAGAACATTAACTAAAGCTTACGGTCTTCGTTTTATCATATCTGTAAGTTAAATAAGAATATTGTAATGTATCTACTCTTCAACGTCAATTTATTAGATTATACTAAAAATAGAGAAAGAGTTCCTTCCTCGAGTCGTCATGCTCTGACAGATCATACTTAGTAATGCTGTTTTCGTGTAATTTAGGTGAGCGGTCATGCTGGTAAATTTGATTTGATAACACTGACGTTGAATATCGGTTCACTGATTGGTATTCTTGGTTTAGCAACATTTATCTGCGACATTGTTGCCTTATATGTTCATCGACAATCGGATGTGTATCGTCAACAAAAATTTCAAGATGTTGATTTGAATCTATTACAATTAGAAACATTGAATAATCTTCCATTGAATATGATGAGTGATGAAGCAAAAGAAATGCATGTGAATCACGTCGAACAAGCGATCTTAACGGATCACATTATCGACAAAAACGACTCCTTAATCAACGTAGAAAGTCCATATAAAGAGAGATTTCGACGAAATAGTTTAACGAATCAAGATGTGTATGATGACATATCGTCAACATCGAAAAGTACAAATCAACAATCTACGCCCATGTTAATCTACGGTACTTATCATCAACAAAAACTAGGACTGACCAATTCTATTAATGATAGCCCGTTGTCCTTATCATCCGTTAAACAAAGACGAAATCAAACGAATCGACCGTCACAATTACGATTTCCACAAAATGATAAGACACAATTGTACGATAAGACCAATATTGTCTATGTCGATGACGATACACCAGATTTGAACGAACCAGTAGAAGACAGAAACTGTTTGAATCATAATCTGTCACCAAACCATAGTGAACAATCGAATCGAATATCGCCTAAAATCGAAACCTACTTATAAAAACGGACAGAGTTTGCTCTGGGTCAGCAGTTCGAATATTTCTTGTGATCGAAGAAAATCTCACAGCATAAGACAGTAATTTTTCGATCGATCAACAAAATGACTTGAACTCAATGTTTACAAATCGTTTTCTGTAATAAATAAATAAATGTTCTTCTACAATTGTTTTCATAGTCAAAGCCTAGAATAAAGTAACCTTGATAACTTATTTAGTACGTCAAACTTTCACCCACACTGGCAAATCGCTCAAGGGTGCACTAATCGATTTATCGTGCGCAGAATGCACGTATATCTTCGATACAATGTCCAACGGAGATGCTATTAGAATGATACATATTATCGAAGGTCTTTTTATCGATTGAGTATATCTGGATAATGTCAATGCTGACTTGATTGTTAGTACAGATGCATATCGGTATCACACGTAGCTTTTTATTAGAAAAGTAAACAAAATTAGTACGATAAGAACTGTGAAGGAATCAATTAGGTTTCCCAGTGATTTTCGGATATGGTATACCAAGTCGAGAGCTGAGCATTTGGACGGTTTTTTCATATTCATGATTGAGATTGTTGGCTTGCTGGAGTGCATATTTCAAATCTTCGATTTCTTCGAAGAAATTCCCGTCGAGAGCACTGATTTCTTTCTTCATACGTTCGTATCGTTCTTCGAATTTCTCCATACGTTTTTGAGCGGATAATGCTCGTCGTTCTGCTTGTTCTTTCTCTTTCTCACATTGGATTAGTCGACGTTCATAATCATTGATACGTCCTGATGAAGGTGGTTTTCGTTGTTCTTGGATCGTTTCGTTTTCATATTTTTTCAGCAGATCATTTTGAGCTTTTAAAAGACGATGCAGACGCATTTGCTCTTCGGACGGATGTTTTCCTACAGAAGGATTTGGTCGTGGTTGAACGACAATATCTGTTTGACATGATATCGAACATGAACGTAAATGATCATGATCTTGGGTGGCAACTTGTTTTTCCAGATAGTGAATGTGTCGTTTTAAGTCAGCAATTTTCGCTTTCAATCGTGCATTTTCATGATGCAGAAACGCACACATATGAATCGGTGGCATATCCATGATCGACGATATTCATATCTGAAGAAGAAGAATAAATCCGTCGTAGAAATACTAAGTCTAGAAATTTTATTTCAACACACAAAGGTTTATCTGAACTTGAAGAAAAAAAATATATCAAAAATGTTCTTTTTGCTAAAACAAAATCATAATTTTCTGTTGTAATCAAACTAATTCTATTGATATTGATCACGCTTTTTTATTGTTCACATTTCATATGTTGGAAGTACATGATCGTTGAACTGAAGATGATTTTTCAATGAATAATTGCCTCGGGAGACATCGTATTATGGTCTGTAGTGGCGTCATTCATCGAATAAGCTACAATAAAGATTCTAATAATGAAGAGCAAAAATGATCAATGATATTCACTATTCAATCGTTCGGCCTTCGTTTGTTGGCAGTCGAAATTGAACGTTGATAGATCATTCAATGGACGAATATGAACAAGGTCAATATGATCTGGATATGTTGAAGGCGAGACGACTGAATTATGATGATCATAGTGATTGCCGTTCGACCAGATAGTAGCGTTAATAGCATTACTATTCCTTTTGCGACTAGAATAAACATTTCCCCGATGATCAATCAGAAGTTTCTGCTCAAACGTACTTGTGATGTTGAGGGGAGCTGTCAACGTGTGGTGATCGGATAGTTGCTTCGAATTCATGCGTGTTATTAAAATTGGGTAATGCCGGTGGCGAGGATGGCGCTAACTTTGTTGGAGTGATGATATTTTCCATGCTTGTTGATGCAGACGATGATGGAGGTGGTGTGAGGGACCGTACAAAAAAGTCTTTCGATGTCTCCAACAAATGGCTCGCTTTTGACATTAATTCTTGTGCAAGACGAACTTGATCGTTGTGTAATGACAAGATATTTGTAACGCTGAGATCGTAATTTACTGTTGGTTCGGGAGTTGGGTCTTTTTGGTGATGCGTGGATAGCGGAAGTATGGTTGATGATAGTGTATTGGTACTTCGACTCGATGGTAATTCTGATGAAATTTCTGAGTTGGAGTAGTATCGAGCTTTCAAACGATCAGTAATTACATCGAGTTCGCTAAGTTGTCGTCTACAAAGAAATCAATAGTGAGTTTTAGTTTGTATCGAACTAGAAAAATTGATTCTAAATACCGAAGATTATTCATCAGGAACGATTCTTTATGGCTATCATCTTCGATGGCGGATGTATTCAGACTTATTTGACTACCAGTATTCTAAAAAATATTCCTTAAGAATCTCAAAAGTTTTCAGCTGCGAAATGAAATTTACAGATCTCGCTGAAAGATCCGAAAGAACTAAAGTTGGCACATTAGATGAATTTGAACGATGCGAATCGAGTTTGGGTTGATGATGTTTAGAATTGTATCTTAATCGTTTGAATTCAACCAGATCTTCCAACGGTACAATACTAATTTTCAATTGTCCTTGTACGTTTCCAACCACGTCGCTAATATTATACCACCCAGATATTTGTTGCAGTCCCGATAACAATGGACTTAGATCGATTGCAACAAAGCCGAGAACTTTATCACCGGATTTTTCTATTCAAAAGAAAAATAGACTAAGAAAGAATGTTTGTTGACTGACCTACCTGGAATTGATTCGATTTCAGCATTGAGTTTATGCCAAACTTTAAGAATGAAAACTTTCTTTTCATCAAATAAATGTTCGACAGATAGTTTTACAGATTGCTGGTAGTTCCATTGTGGCCTTACTGTTGATGTTAAGACTTGAGTACGATAAAGATGATTAGAATCAGCTGCTGAATAAGTCACGTATGGGTTTGGCGGAAGATGAAGGTTTCTTCGTTTTGAAATATTCGAAATAAAACAATTTTCAGTTCAGAAATTAATCTTACTTTTCTTCGAAATAGATATTCGGTAAATGTGCACCTTGTTCGATATTAATCTGAGCAGAAAAGATGCTATTTGCCAACGATCGAAGTGCACGATCATTATTCATCAAATTCAAATAACGATTCTCTAAATAAGATTCAAGTTCAGCTTCATTTGATGTATCGACATTGTCTGGATTCTAGACGAACAAGATATTCGAGTCTAATCAGATTCAATAGTCATCAGATAAAACCTACTCTCAGCTCGTTGAAATCTTTCGAGCTATCTATAGAAATGTGTACTTGCACGCTGGCTCCGTGCAAATTCTTCGCGCCTTGTTTGAATATCGGTAAAATAGCACTTATTCGTTGTGGCTTTCGTTTTCGTTGACATAGAGGACTTAAATCGACGAAAATCGAACCAACTAGTTTATCTGTTGAAGATCCTAGTGATTGTGTATAATCGTACGTGTCGTTTTCACTCATCCAAATTTGAATTTCTAGTTTCTCTTCACGTAGATACCAATAAAACGGTGCACTTGCTAAGAATAGATGTTCTTTGAGGAATTGCAATTCACAGATTAGGTTGTTTCTATTTATAGTCGTTTGCTTGCGTTTGGTAATGACAGGCACTAGAATATAGAGAGAAAATTAGGCTTTGAATAAAAAAATACACGATTTATCTGTATTACTTTTGTCATAGAAACGATACTGGGCAAAGACACTGACGCGATTTTTATCTGGTTGAGTGAGAAGTTCAATCGGAAATTGTATACGATCGATCGATATTTTGAGCAAGCAACCAAGATCTTTTTCATCTAGATTTGAAGGTAAAATGAAGAATTCCTTTGACAAGTGTAAATACCATCCAGAAAGTTTTCTTGATCAATGTATTTATCGTCGAGCCAGCCAAGTGTTTTAGCCGAGTCAATCATTCGGCGACGGTCATCTTGTTGTGCAAATCGAGCAAACAGCTCAATTCCGCCAACGGAATGCTCAGCTGGATCCGAAGATATTTCTGATCTTAAGGCACTCGCCAGTGAAAACCATCCTTTGATCCCTATATGAAACAAATCAACGAGTCATTTGATCGTAGTGGCATATAGAGTATTACCCGTATGGTGAGCAATTAAGTCCTTTAATGAAATCTTGCTATGACATAAAAGTATATCCGTCGCTTGCTTTTCATTGGCATTCATTCGATGAAAAACTTCAACTTTCAATTCACCATGTTCCAGCATCTCTGCGAGTGATATGGACTGATTCCGATGATTACTCCAGATTAGTGAAATCGGAAAATCAATCGAATGGTTATATTCAGGTACAAAACTACGAGCAATAGTTCTTGTAGAACGAGATTCCTGTAAAGAACAAGATCACGAACAGAGCATTACAATCGTAAAATAGTTACTATGTCAGATAGAAATGAGAATGATAGTTTGGCATATGTGTTGACACCCACTTGCGATGCATAGTTTAAACGTGCATCATGCTGCGCTTGAACCAGAGTTGCATGCTGCGATGTAGAGAGAGAGATAGTAAGGATTCATTACTCAACGAATAGCTCACTTTCAAACCACAAGCACGAATAATACCGATCGATACACATACTTGTGAAGTACCATCTGTTAAACGATTCGGAATAGCTTGCGATTCATTTCGCTAAAACTAAGAAAGATTAGTAATGAAGTAACATTGGAATAGTACTACCTTGAGAATATTTCGTTTGTAAGTCACTGTTATCGATAAATCACCGCCATATGTTGATGCCGATGCATAATGATGCTGTTCTTGGTGAAGATCTTCTTGAACGATTTCTAACGGTATGCGAAATGATTGCATGGACTTGTCGTCTGAATCTGCATTTAGCATCGTTGTCATACTGCACAGTTTAGCTGCTGATAATTTACCCTTCAAGATATATAAGACGAATGTGTATGCTTGTGGTCATGGATACAAAATAAGTCTTACTATTGCTAAAAGTTGATCGCGAATGTTGGGATGATAAAATCTAGACCAGACTTCAAATACAATACTAGCATCGATCGGTGTTGTAGATTGACATACTATAAGAGCAACTGTAGACGTGAGCACTGTCTGATTGGAAGCGATGTATTGCTTTACCTGTATAGAAATACTTATGTAATGCATCGGCTGGTGAAAGAACATATTGAAATCTATTTGTATCATGAAATGTTGGATCAGATGTACATAGAGTTGTGGCAGTACGTATTGTACGAAGTTGAAACGGTTTAATCAGGCTAGTATTGACAATCTGCTGTTCTGATTGTATTGGAAACGAGTATTGAATGAAGCAATCGCTTTCGCCCCACACCATTGATTCGAAAGCACGTAAACCATCAATACTTTCGATCATAATTTCAAAATAATGTTCTATCAACGAGGATGCTGATGGATCACTATTCAATGCATTCTGATTTTTTGCTGAAGAATATGACTCGGTATCTGCATGAGCAACCTGAACAGCTGATATTTGATCCGGTGTACCCATAGCTAGTAGAACTTGAATTTCGCCTGCCGATGCATTGTTAAACGGATCGATGATTGGCAACCATGAATCAACGCTGAGCACCGGATATTGAGCTCGTAATAAAACTCGACTGATTTGTTTATCTTTGAATGAAACATAGAACTGTTCTAAAGGTACTTTAGTGATGCCAATGATTTGATCGGATGGGCCAATCATCTTTTTATCCCAGACTTCAACGATAACATAGTTTTGATGCATCTTTTCGATAGTCGATCTATTGAGTAATAAGGGTACTTTCTAAAAGCGAATAGAAGAACACTTATGTAACTGGTTGCATGGAACCTAACCTGTTGAAAATTGAATTTAGGTGTTGTTGTTCCCCAACAAGCAGTCGATGTTATTCGTTCCTCATTCCAAAATGCTCGATAGACAAAATAGGGATTTCGTGGTAGATTACCTAGAGAAAAAGAAAACTTATTTCTACTTCAAGGATTCTTTACATTTCTCTTTACTACTTGAGTTTTTTGGGATGTTTCTTGCTTCCACAATGGACAGATAGATTTGTACAACTAATCCGTCGGTGAAATCTGATGATGATTCGTTCGGTATAAAACATCTGGGCATTTGTACATGAGTATTGACTGATCTCGTAGATTTGGAGACTCGGTGTTTG